TCCGTACAGTAGAGCTGCCTTGACGTTCGTATTAAAGATTGTGACTTTGATATTAGTTGAAAGTTGTTTTGAGTTCCATATGTTCTTCAATTGTAGGAATGCGGCCCTTGCTTTGCCAATCCTCGCCTTTACGTCTGCATCTGATCCTCATTGTTCATCGATGATGCTTCCCAGGTATGTGAAGGATTCTACATCTTCCAGAGTCTCACCATCAAGAGTAATTGGATTGCTGTTCTCCGTGTTGTATTTGAGGACCTTGGTTTTCCCCTTGTGTATGTTGAGGCCTACTGATGCAGAGACTGCTGCCACACTGGCTGTCCTTATCTGCATTTGTTCGTGTGTATACGATAGGAGGGCTAGATCATCTGCAAAGTCCACATTGTCTAATTGGTTCTGAGATGTCCATTGTATTCCGTGTTTTCCCTCAAATGTCGAGGTCTTCATAATCCAGTCGACCACCAGAAGAAAGAGGAAGGGAGAGAGTAGACAGCTTTGTCTGACTCCAGTCCTTACTTGGAATGTATCTGTCAGCTGTCCTCCGTGCACTACTTTGCACAGAGTTTTGCTGAACGGGATGAAAGATGCAGTAGACGCCCAACTTCGAGATTAACAAGGTGGATTCCGTAAGGATCGGTCGTTCACAGACCAAATTGCGACACTACGGATCATCGTCGAACAATCAGTTGAGTGGAACTCGTCACTGTACATCAACTTCATTGATTATGAAAAGGCATTTACAGTGTGGATAGGAGGACATCATGGAATCTTCTTCGACACTATGGAGTTCCTGAGAAGATTGTCAATATTATCCTGGTACTCCGCCTGTAGCTCTTCCAGAGTTACTGCCGATCCCAAGCCCGGGTAAAGGAGGAGGGTTGGGTATGGGGTTAGCGTCCCCACCCCGTAGAAAACTAACTCGCTAAAGAACGCTTACCAGAAAAAATTATTCAATTATGAATATACACTTCTTAAATATCATCCCATTGTGTTGACAAAATCTTTGGGAGGAAAAATCCATGTAGATATATTTTTAACTTTCCAAATCAGACTATTGCACATGGCTTATAGGTTTTCATTGTGGTTCCAAGGTATGAGTTACTACTTTCTGTAATATGTTGTATTACGTAATAACTGATAGGTTAGGTTTAGATATGTATGTTTGTACTGGTACTTCTATCTGTGAGTTATTTAGGTTTCTTAACGGTTGTGCTCCAGAAGGACCACTACTTTGTATTTTACTTTATAACTGCGAGAAATGATCATCAAATCAAGTATTATGTTGAGGTTTCGGTTGGACGTGACGTTGAAGACTGACAGTAGCTTCACTGCATAGGTAGCTCAAGATGATAAACGTTGGTTTCGCCAGTCTACTTTATTTAAATGACTACAGTGGGAACCGAGGTTTATAAGTGATCTTTTGAAAACTGTTCTTAAAGATACGTGAGTTTGTTCATCGTTTCTTTTTCTTATGGTTGCTTATCTCTTATTGCATCGGTAAGGATTTCAATATCGTTATGCAAAACTACTAAGTATTTCATAATATTTTTGGACTGTCTTTAGTGATAGAATACAAAACACACATTTCGATTAACTTAAGGTTCATCGACACATCTACTTAAACGGTTCATATTCTATCGAAAGCTGATCTAATTCAGCCGTTAACGTCAACAACGCGGAAGAACAAATCATTACAACTTATGATAACTGATTAAATTCCGAAAAAATAATTTTAGCTGAGTTCCGAAAAGTACCTGATTTGGTTAGAAGTTTCAAAGCCGTTGAATGCTAGTACCTTTCTTATATTTTTATCACGCTAAGTTTTTTTTGAAATAAGTTTCCACAAGGATCCAGATGTTATCATTTAAGTATGTATTTCTTGAATATATTTATACTTAGAGGGGATAGTTAGGGTTAATTATCTCTGATGTGTGGGCGAGAATGATTGGTTGTCTGCTTAGTCGACATGTAGATAGTCTGGCAGGTGTCATATGAGTTATATATTCCCCTATCCTTATAATTGTTATTATTGATTGTTCATTGCTGTTGGATTGTGTCGGGTTTTGGTGTGGAAACATATTTGCGTTCTAGTCAGGTTAATCACGTGTTCCTGATCTGAGTTGTGTTGAGGTCCTGTAGAATAGACACTGGGAGGGAATCTAGTGTAGATATTCGTTCAAGGTAAATTTACGTCCCATACGTGTAAAACCAACAGTTATAACAATCTCTTCCCCTCATCCATACCCTTTATAATGTCCTGTTGTAGAAACTATAATTAGATTAAGTTATCTTCACCTAAGATATTTTTATTTTAAATTTTCGGTTGAACGTAATCCAATATAAGAAAAATTCATCCATAAGTAGCTTTGAACACTTAGAGAACATACCATTATGTTTGGTTTGAGATTTTTCACCAGTACCTATATTAATTGCCTCCAACATCCAACATAAGACTTCATAGTAATCATATTTTATCACGTACCATATATTTCCCATAATAGTAGTTGAGTACCACACTCAAAGCGATTTACAGATATCGTCAACATTTACCTCAATCTCGATAGTTTCATGAACTTGATCACAATGTTTCAATCTAGCAGAAAACTTGTTGATACCAGTTCATTAAATGTTTCGAAAATTGCTGTTGATATCGACGTTACGATTTTTTAAGCAATTAGTAGATTGTTTTACATCTTTCACATTATGCTAATTAATTCAAGGAAGATGATCCTTAGAGAATATGAATTACTATTCTGGTTTAATTGGAATTGTAGATTACTATTGATTATTCATTTACCTATGTTTTACCCGTTCCAAAAATCAGTGAATAGAATTATACTACTTACTAGTACCAGAAAAAATATTATTGTTTAGAATTAAGCTGATTATACCACTTAGAGTCAATAATCTGTCCTGATAAAGGGTTTTACACCAGCTTGAAACAGCTGTTTAGTGTTCTCTGGTTCGTCAACTACCAGTTCGTAATCAAAAAGATATCTAAGTAGCCCTTTATTATGTTCCTTTACTATACAGTATTCCATGGACATCATACTTCACTCAACTCTTACCAAACCTGGACAATATATATTTCAATAAATCCAAGCAACAAAAAGGTAGCACTAAACACATCAGATCTTGTGCAGAATATATTTTAGAATATTCTGACACAAATTTGTCCGTTGATCGTGGTTGGTTGAAAGTGGACCGATTAGTACATTCTGTTTTCAGTGTCCAATAGTCAAGATTCCATCTTGTAAATATTACCTACTTCAATTGTCAGGTAAATAAAAATATGGATTTTCATACTTTGCTGATCAAAATCAAGAATAATTCAAATGAACTTGATTTGCATAGCATTTGCTAACTTTAGGATAGAAAAATCCAGAGATGAAAAGTAATTTACTTTTTATTAATAAGTAATTATAAAATCAATTTGATTCATTAGATTTTTCATTAACGCATAGAAAGAAAGAAAAATGGTCCAAGCAATGAAGTGCATCAATTTCAGGAGAATTACTGATTTAATCAGTAATTTATTTATTGAATATTTTTTCTGCTTCTTTTTAGTTTCAAATATTTTACAAGATATATACTAGGCTTAGTTGTAAAGTGCAATCGATATACGAACCTACCAGTCACAGCAATAAACACCACAACACCACTTAGCTCTATTTGACCTTGTAACCTGTGGCTCTTCTAGGGTTGTTGTTGGGCCCAAGCTAGGATAAAGGAGGAGGGTTGGGCAAAGAGTCAGCAACCCCATCCCATAGAAAACAACACTGCTAAAAAACCCTAACCAGATTAAACAATTTAAACCATTTTAACTCTGCTCTTCGAGTTCAAGGAAGAATTATGACGCCAAATGATGAAAGCCGAGATTCTCCGAATGTCACGTGCTCCTTCTAACAACTAAAGCACCAATTAATATAGGTACATGGAATGTTCAGACAATGTGGGAAAGCGGAAGGACCAGTTAAATAGCTGCGGAAATGAGGAGATACAATTCGATGATGCTCGGAATCATTGGAACCCATTGAAACCAAGCTGGATAGAAAAGGATAGATTCAGGAGAGATGTTTCTGTACTCTCGTCACAAGAAAGAAAACTGTTCATGCATTCAGGGAGTTGCTCTGATGCTGTCCAAAGAAACACAAAATGCACTTATAGGATGAAAATCTCATGGACCCAGGATCATCAAAGCATCATTCAAAATAAACAAGGAGAGAATCATAATGAATATTATCCAATGTTATGCACCCACCGATGACATCAATGACGACGATAAAGATCAGTTCTACGAGAGGCTGCAATCGATCATAGCTGAGTTTTCAGGGAAAAACATGACAATCCTGATGGGTGATCTAAAGTCGAGAGTCGGAATGGACAACACCGGATATGACGACATCGCAAATTTATGCGCATTCAACAAACTGGTTATAAGCGGCATAATATTCTTCCACAAACTCGTAAATAAAGCTACATGGGTCTCACAGGACCACATTACACAGAATTAGATCGATCATATTTGCATCAGTGAAAAACTCACGAGGACAATGAAAGACGTGAGAACCAGGAAAAAAGCTGACACAACTTCAGACCACTACCTGGTGATCGCCAAGATGAAACAGAGGAGAAAGAAGCACTGGACAACCGGACAGACAGCACCACAAAGGTTCAATACAGCCATCCTTCGAGGAATTCAAAATAGCTCTCAACAACTGGTTCCAAGCCTTACAAGATCTACTGAAAGAAGAAGAAACTCCTATGGGGGACAACCGGGAAGGGATCAAAGAAGCACTAACTTCAACGTGTCAGGAGGAGCTGGGATGCAAGAAGCATCATCATAAGGAATGGATCTCTATTGAAAACCTGCACAAGATTTAAGAAAGGAAGAACAAGAAGACAGCGATTAACAACAGCCGGATAAGAACAGAGACAATCAAGGCACAAGCTGAATACACAGAAGCAAACAAGCAAGTGAAGAGGAGCACTACAGCCGACAAACAGAAACATGTGCAAGAGCTAGCAACGACAGGAGAAAGCTGCAAGGGAAGGAACTATGAAACAACTATATGACACGACGGAGAAACAATCACTAAGACTGAAGAACAAAGGAACAGATGGGTAGAACACTGAAAATCCCTTCAATAGACCAGCTCCATTGAATCCACCGAACATCAAGGCAACACACACAGACTTTTCTACACACGTCACACCACCGACGATCGACGAAACCGGGCTGATCATCAGACAAATCAAGAATGGTAAAGCAGCAGGACCTGACAATATACCAGTTGAAGCACTGGACTCAGACATAGAAGTAACTGCAAACATACTCCACATCCTATTCAGGGAGATTTAAAAGGAAGAACAAGTGCGGACAAACTGGAAAGAAGGGTATCTCATCAAGATACTAAAGAATGGAGAGCTGAGCAAGTGTGATAACCACAGAGATATCACACTACTGTCGGTATCAGGAAACGTTTTCAACAGTGTTACTGAACCGGATGGAAGATTCAGTAGACGCTCAGTCTCGAGATCAACAGACAGGATTCCGCAAGGATTGGTCATGCCCGGACCTAGTCGTGACACTATGGATCATTGTTGAGCAGTCAATTGAATGGAACTCGTCACTATACATCAACTTCCTTGACTATGAGGTGTTTGACAGTGTGGATAGAAGGACCTTATGGAACCTTCTTCGACACTATGGTGTGTCTGAGATGCTAAACATCACACGGAATTCATACGACGAACGGAGGACAGCTGACAGACGCATTCCAAGTGGGGACTGGAGTCACATAAGGCTGCTTTGTCTCTCTCTGCTTCTCCTGGTGGTTGACTGGGTTATGAAAACCTCCACATCTGAGGGGAAGCACGGAATAGAAAGAAAATCTGGAATGCAACTAGACGATTTGGACTTCGTAGATGACCTGGCCCTTCTATCCCATACATATAAACAAATGCAGATAGCGACAACCAGTGTGGCAGAAGCCTTTTCATCAGTAGGCCTCAACATACACAAGGGAAAAGCAAGATCCTCAAATACAATACAACACCAAACCTATTACACTTGGTGGAGAAACTATTGAAGGGGTGGAATCTTTCATGTACACCAAAATCAGAATCTTCAATATGAACGTCAAGAAAGTCCTATTGTACAGAAGTGAAATTTTAAGAACTACGACATCCATCATTAAAAACGTATGGATACTCATAAACAGTTTTCCACACAAGACGTCTTATATCCGTTGTCCGGATACCATAGGCATCAATCTACTACGGCAGAAAACAAACCAGATGCCGGCTGAAGAGGAAGTTACGAAGGACACTGGAAGTGGGTAGGATATTCATTGAGAAAACCATCACTGCATCACGAGGCAAGCCGTAACCTGGAATCCTGAAGGGAAACGAAAAAGAGAATGATCAAAGAACACACTGCGTCGAGAATTGGAATCAAGCATCAAAAGGGTGAATAGCAACTGGACACGATTGCCCAGGACAGAGTTAAATGGAGAATCCTGGTGAGTGGCCTACGCTTCACCACGAGGGTTAACAGGAATAAGTAAGTAATGTTATCCATGTCATTCTTTTTTTCCTGTTTAATAGACTGTACTAGTTAATAGAAACATATGGTTTATCAAGCCATATAGTTTATTTGTTCTGATTTGGGCTAAGACTTTGTACTTGACAGTCTGTGGAACAGTTTAAAATTTCATCTCCAGGAAGCTACTTCCTACAATTGTATTTATGATTACTTTAGAAAACTAATTTATGGGTAATTCTAGTCGAAACTTGATTAAATCATAATTACAGTTAATAATTTTCATTGGACATTGATCAATGGATATAGTTTGATATGACCTTTACTCTCATTCTCATAAGTAATCGACATTATAAATAAAAATAATGTATTTGTGATATCCCATTGAGTAGAAAAATGAGACTTTCTGACGTTTCGTTACTCGATGTAAGCCACTTCTTCAGAAAATATATAGCCAAATCATATTTTGATTTGGTTACAAATATATTCGTTTTATTTATAACAACCTACTCAATGCTCAATTTATTTGAAATTATCATGTCAAACCTTGGTAATGATACGTATATAATCGACGTTATATTGATTGTTAAGATGTAAATAGCTTTCTATTAATTGTACTTAATATTATCTAGGAATGTAGTAGAAACTTGTAAAAAGAAACCATATAAAGTTTTAAGTGTTAAAGTAATATATACATTATGTAAAACACTTCATAAGTAGATAGTTTATCATGTTTTTGTGTGCGGGCTGAGATACTGCACAGGTGCCCAGACCGAAGCAGGTGGTTATCTTAGGGGGCTACTCCCCGAGCCTTTGACCTAAAGGTCTGACCCACAAGGCAATGGAGCATCGTGAGGAGATGCCATTCCGTGGAAGCCGGTGACCAACCATTGGTTCATACACCATTTGTTCCTTCAGGATACTCGAGCCCATGTGCACCATTGGTTTGGGATCCGGTTAGAGCTCCGGACATTCGCTTTTCGTCCTCTCGATTTCGTAAACAACACCCCCGCCACGAGAAGGCAGTGAGTAGGACTTCCCTGGCAGGGGCTGTATACGCGTGGCCATGTGAGGGTATCTCGAGAGGGAGGGCGAACTCACCCCGCTCTCGGCCATACCAGGGCATTCGGAGGCCTGGAGAAAGACTTCTCGACCTTGATTTGGTTGGTTCGCCAGTATGTAGTGTATGCTATTTAAGTCCACCAACATAAGTAGTAGGTAACACCAGTCGGAAGTGGAAATTCTGGAAGCAGAAGGCTAAGGAGATCGAGTTGAAGAGAAGGGAAGATAGAAAGGAATTTTGAAGTTGAAGAATCAGACCGAATGTGAATGACAAATGATGGATGTTTGCAAATGAATTATTCAGTGTATAGTTCTTATATTTTATCAAGACACTGTGATTTTGTATTAAAACACATTGGTTGTCGCCACCCGAGTGTTCATCTATTACAAGTATAGTATACTCTTACTGTGTAACTATTATCATCAAAAAGTCAATATATATATTTTTAATTCAGCAATATATTATTACATGAGAGATAAAGAAGGGAGACTTTACAGTATGCAAAAATAATTGCCCTCTAACACAACATAAATTTATCACAATCCAATATAAAAATGGAAAGTGAATATGTACACATTAGTTTTCAACAGAACGACATCAAGGAAAAACATACCTAATTATCATTGGGATAATAATCAAGTTGATAATGATATTTCATAAGAGCATAGCACAGTCGATTGTGAACCAACCATAAAGCATAATTGTTTCATAGTATTATCCTTACTGTGATTATCGGTTAGTTTACCTATAAAATCGGCATATTGTAAATTAAAACTACTATTAATTGGTTGAGATTTCCTCATAGTGATATTTGATGGCAAATAAGACATTGTCCAATCTGATTGATTTGAATGGAAAACTGTTGGATAATTTTGATTATTGTTATTATTATCATTGGTATTACTGTCACCGAGTAGTAGAAATTCATCAGATGAATTAGTTTGAATTAGAATCATGTTGAAAAAGTTTTTACCTTTTAAAATCTTATTATCATTATCGTCACTATTAGGATTATTCGTATTAAATTTAGAATTCCATAATCGTGTTTTCTCAGTTAGCTCTTCCTCATCTTTTTCAGATAAACTGAATGATTCTTTGTCTTCTTTGAAGTTTTCTTCTTCAACCATATTATTATTATGTAACATTGATGGGTGTATTGGCCATGCCTTAATATTTGATCGCATTGTAGTTGTACAATAGACGCCAACAGCAGCGGAACTAGAAGATAGATCATTACGTGATATTAACCAATCACATGAACTAGCCACTGATTCTGAATTGAACATCTACAGATGAATGGATGGAAAAAACGACAAATCAAATGGATTAATATCGCAAATTAGAAAATGAAATAATCAAGAAGTGATCAGTCGCAATTTGAACAGATTATTATTAGTTAAGTTATCGGTTGTGATTATGGGTGGTACAGGTTCAAATTCAATAGTAAGTATTTAGTTACTCAGGATTATGGATATCTTGCTGAAGCAGGTGACAATTAGCACGAAAACTAGATAGAGGAATTTGTATCAATTACTTCCAAGCAGGATATGTATATCTACTGAATGGTCACAGAGTAGTAATCAATTTTAAGTTTGTCTAGTCCGTAGTCCTGATCGAGTTCTTCCGATCAAACAGTGAATTGTGATATCGAGCTACTTAGGCTAGCGGTCAAAACATAGTGACCTGGTTGATAAAATTCGATCAGGACTAAGGACTACTGTAATATCACATTTATCAGTATTCAGTGGTCTACTGGTGTAGAGATAATTGCAGCTATAGTTATTAAAAGAAACTTGACAGTAATTCATTGGAAATAAAGTAGTTTCTAAACCTTTTCTTATTTAAATTAACAAAAGATTGGTCGTGGCTACTGAATTATTTTTCCAGTGGGGCCTTTTGAGATCAATGGATAAATGATAAGACCGAAATCAAATGCCATCTTACGGTGAATAAATAAGTCTTGGTTAGATTATGCTAACAGTTAGAAAGAGTTATTTGATACTATTAGTGATTGAATCAAAATGATATTTGATTAATGGCTATTTGTTGTAAATTAAGTGATAGAGGAAAGAATGGGTAGACGGTAAGTCGGTAGTTCAATTTGGCTTATGATTCCGACTTATTTCTTATTTCAAGGATCACACCAGTAACTAGCATTATGAACTAGTCTACGTAAAATTTCTCAAAACAAATTCAGTAATATTCAACAATGAAACATAAATAGCTTCTCATAAATTTTCTTACTCAACACCAAGAAACATTTTAAGTTTGTAGGACGTAAGAAGAATCAAAGTAGAAATCCGTTCTTGACGTAATAATTGGCACTCATTAGCAAGATACATATGCAACTGCAATGGAAATATTGTCTCTTTATGAACTCGAGCCTAAGTTAGCATCAGTCAAAGGTGTCTTTAATGAGCTGATCGGCTTGCAATTCCTTCTACGTAGGAATGACTTAAGTATAATCTGATCGGTTACTGGTATCTAACGCCACACTGTATAGTTAGTACTCAGTACTGACTCGATTCTATCGAGCAGTTTCAAATTGCCAGATATTGACAATTTTCAGTGGATGATAAAGTCTAAAAATCCCATTATGAACTTATTTCAAAGTGACCTTGATTATATTTACCGATTAGAAACAAATTTAATAGGGAATAAAAAATCAATGCAGATTCTTTGAGTTTATAGATTTGTGAATAAAACCATCAATTAAATTACTTCCGAGAGACTTGGTGGTATTACACATATTGGGATGCCTTTTTTAAAATTTGTTTAGCACATTTTTAGGAGGGATTAGTCGTCTAATTCAGTGGAATGTTCCCTAAACACATATAAAAGGATACCTGAAACAGGATATATATATATATATATATATATATATATATTGATGGAGTTTTGCTCTCTGAGCTGGATGGTCTGATCGATGAAAGCATCGTTCTTCTGAACGACATCATCAGCACAAACTTCAGGTAGAAGTCTTTTACCTGATGTCGTTCAGAAGAACGATGAAAGCTCCATGACCAAACTATTCAGCTCAGAGAACAAAACTCCATCAAAATCATCCACCTGAGCTACAAATCTTCTCCACCATTTCAAAATATATATATGATGGTTTTGAGTTTTACATCAAAAACATTATTGCCAACTAGGATTCACACTAATGAGCTGCTCCTGATAAAATAACAATTACTTTATGTCCTCCTTCATTGCCAGCCTCGAAAGATAACATGAGAAGTTATTTCCAATTTAAACTCACATATAAAAGAGAATTATCCTGTGAAATTGCCTCTGCATTCATATCATACAAGCATATTACGCCATCTTCAGAACAATCCATTAGGCGTAGATAACCAGGAACAGAAGTAGGGTCGAATTTTACATCAACAATATCATCTGAATGTAAATCTTTAATAATACCCAACGGAGATGATAAATTTCGTGTGTCCCAATAAACTAATTGAGCTGTTTCCTCATCGTATTCACTAATATTTCTGGAGTTATGTTTTCGACGTTTCTTTTTCAATCTGTAAACTTCTGTACCACAACAAATTAGACTGCCATCTGCACTGATAGAACAACAAGTGAAAGGTACATTCATAAACTGTTTATAAGACTGGATAGTGGGCTGTTTTGTTATTAAAGAAAAAAGTCAAGACAGTTTTCCATTAATATATGAATGAAAGAAAAAAATAATATATTATTAACAGTATGAATAGTTAATATAAATCACTGACAAAATTGTATCTGAATGTAACGCATGAGGTCCGTATGATTGGAGTAGATAATTTAAAAATATTGATATTAAAATTAACTTCAATCTTAGGTGGCGACGGGGTAGAAAAAACATTCTGAACCCTCAATCTTCAACGTCAGCCTGTAATGGGACGAAATTCAGTCTAATTATTTCGAGGAATCAGCATACAAAATTCTCGCCGATGTCCTTCAACGACATCGATTGTTAATTAGTCATTACCGCGCTGATTCAGAAAATGGCTATCTCTTCCGATCAATTACAGTTGCTATTTGAGAGACAAGAGCATTTCAAAAATAACCAGTTGAATGTTTTAGACAATTTAGGCACACAGCTGCTAAATCATCCATGTTTTGGAGATGTGACAGAAGTTGATAAACTAATTCCTAACTTGCATACAGAGCTGGAAAATGAATGCAGAACGTATGAATGTGTCGATAAAAGCCTCTATGAATCCTTGACGAGCAGTAATGTAAGCGAAGCAGTAGCAGTCATTCACGATCCTCCCAGGGGTCCAGAAATGTCCATTTCAGAGACATGCCATGTCGTGGGTTCAAATCCCATCGCCCACGAAGAGACAGAAAATGGATCAAGCAGCATTAGATGGAGCTCATCATTCCAGAACAAAAAGTTCTGATGAATCTACTTATTGGAATTCTCTAGTTGTTTTATCAAATATGAGTTATCTTAATGACTCATCTGCTTTTGATCAAATTTCTTACAAAAATGAGAAAAATTTGTCGGATGCACCAAACGATGATTAAGAACCTAATAAAATTTTGATAGATGCTGATTGTTCTAGTGACCGACTATCTACTAATGAGATTTTCAAGAAATTTGATGACAATGTTCCAGAGGAATCAAACTTTGATGACCTCAAATCAAGCGACGTTGATCCTCACCATTTAATCACCTTTAGTAAATTCTCTGTTCAATGTGACAAATACGTTTTAAATAAAGTCAAATCAATTGTAACTTGGGAATATGAGGATTCAACACTGTTTTGTTGGGGAGGATAAACCCGGATCTTCAAAAAGGGGAGGTGTTATATCCCGATGAGAATAATGAATGGTGATTTTCGGGATCCATTTATGGACCAATACTGAGTATATTTTTATCGTGTAATTGTTATGTAACTAAACTGTTTATATTCATGTCCCTGTTATTATGAGTTTTATTTTGACCTATGAACTATTATTATACGTTTCACCATTCTTGAATTATTCCCTGTCTGTTAATCACTACCTCCCTTATTCACAGCCACTTTTGGCCAAAAACTGTACAAATGTTATTTTCTATTTTATGGTACGTTGTGGTCTGTTTGATTGGTATATAAACCCCGTATGTTTGAAAATAAATGATCCATATTGCAGAGGCTGAAATTGGTGTTCTGGACTTAACTGGCTAAGCTAGACAGGGAGCGAGACCAATCAGGACTCTAGGCTGCTCGCACTTGTTTTATGCGTCACTGGTTCGATCGATAATTCGCTGCTCTCTGACTGGTGGTATCGTTGCGTTAACCATAACAGGGCACACAGTTTCACAAGTTATAACAAAGTGATAAAAATATTGGAAAGTTGTTGTTATAAGGATCGCACCAGGACAATTGCAACTTTTAATGTCTAGTGACAAGAAACCATAAGCCGTTAAAAGTATGAGAGCGGTCATCACTTCTCGGTTGCCCACACCGTGGAAGGGTTCTTCTGGAGGCACCTAAAAAATTGGATTACGGGTGGTCTTATTGACTTGAGAGTGTGACCACAGTGCCCAAGGGACAACTACTTGAGGTCGGTCACACACGAACTTTTTGTGAGTAATTTTCGTGTTGGCTCCGTATTTGTTGAGACCTTACCGCCAGAGACGGATATCCGTAGGACAAGGCGAGGTGTGCATTTTTAGGATCGACCTTTTCTAATCCTACCCCTCCTTGTGGAAAGGCAGCACCGCTATTATACTGGTTGTCTGAAGAAAACACCTTACTCCCGTCACACCTCCGTACAGTCAGCAGTACGACTTCGCTCTCAGATCTTGGGTTTGCTACTTTTAGTCTTACCGCTCTTCAATCGACCTGCCTGGAATGGTAAAACATTTGGGAACGATTGTTCCAGCCAGTATAGCCCGACTGGTTCATCACGATATCTAAGCCCTACCACCATTTCAAGGTAGCTGAAACAGTTGGGAAGCTGTAAGCACCATTTATACTTGTCCAGTTTCGATAAACAGGGCGTATCTGTAATTGTCGAAGTATTAATGCTCTTATTTGCCATGAATAGAAATGTTACCACTAGATTATTTAAACCAAAACAAAATCATGTTACAACTAGATTTCTTTAAAAAAAGCCAATAAATGAATAACTGATCAGTGTTTGAACTTATACATTTGAACTGTTCCCTCCACTGTGAGAAATGTCGCACAAAAAAGTGAAAACAGTGATGAAACTCAAGTTTAAAGTATTTTACTGACTGACTGAGAACATCTAACATTCAACCAGTATACTATATAACGTACTCCAATTTGGACTAGTGAATACAAACACAGTATCGTTCGATTGCTAAACCCCAATCAGTAATTATAAACTGTTGTGACTTTAAGCCCGGATAGTTAACACGTGATTTATTCGCCAATCGAAATACGACTTATTCAATCTTAGCACTGTGCTAAAACAATGACGTTCGACCGGCATGAACAGCCTAGTATCCTTATTGGTCTTTTGTTTGCCTAGCTCGTCCAGTTGAGTCCAGAACGCCAACAACAGCTTCCACTATGCGAATCATTTATTTCAAACATACTTGGTTTATATACCAACCACACAGACTGTATCCCACCATAAAATAAGAAATAACATTTATACAAGATCAAGCCAAAAAGTGGCTGTGAACATGTGAAACTGTAGTTAATAAACTGAACATAAATTAAGAACAGTAAATCGCATAATAATCTATAGGTCAAAATGAAGCTTACAATAAAAGGAATATAGACATACATAATCTAGTCACTGAACAGTTAAACAATAGGAATATATATATATATAAATATATATATATATATATAATATTAGACTATTAATAGTTCTCTGAAGTTACCCGTAATTTAACCTTCACTAGGATATAACACTATAATTTGGTAATCTGTGTTCAATTTTAACTTTTAAGATAAATATAAGTGAACAGAACTGATAGTATTTACAAGTCTATGACCTAATAGTAGTTTCATTAGTGACAATTCTGTCGTTGGTGAACAAGTTATTCAGAAGACAGTAAAGCTGATAGTGATTACGGACAATCTACTTATCAAGTCTAAATGGCATTTGATAATCAGAGTGAGCTTTAATTTACATATATTGGTTGTTTGAATCTTTACACTAATGTATGTTTAGGACTGCAATTGATCACTTTCTTTAAGTATGTGTGCATCTTGTGATTATTGCCTCTATACTGCCACTAAGTTCCAAGCATTTTTAGACAGAGATGGATGGCTAGCAGTGGAATTCAGGACGCGTATTTTATCTCATCTGGGAACCGTCGGGTGAATGTACCAGCATCGCAGAATTGGCATTCACTCCGAGACAACTCAGCTCTTCGAACCACGTGCATTCCAGATAGGACGAAACATGAGTCCTGAATTCCACTGCTAGACAATATCCATTTCAGAATAACCTGTGTGTGAAATAAGTTATGATATATATAACTCCAACTGAAGCCTTTCAAGGGTTAATGCTGGTTGCAAATCAGGATAGAGAAGGATTTGAAGCGAGGTTAGCAACCTCTTCCCGTAAAGAGGGCCTTGCTAAATAAAATTCCAGCAAGGAAGAATCAATTAAACTATATAAACTCTACCATGTGAACTCAAGGGTCTTCATATACAAGAGTTATGATACCTTGTAATGAAAGCCGAGATTCTTTGGAATTCACAGAACCATGCCTCTTCTGAAAATCAGAGCAACATTTAATATAGGTGCAAAGAATCTTCATATAGGGGAATGGAATGACCATTCAAGTAGACGCGGCAATGAGAAAATACACTCTAGCTCTTCTTGGAATAAGCGTAACCTATTAGACACAAGCTAGAAAGAAAAGGTTACCATCGAGAGAGTTGATGTTGCACTCTGATCATGAAGAAGAAATTGCTTCGCACACACAACGACTTGCACTGATAATGTTTAAATAAGCACGAAAAGCATTTATACGATCCTTCAAAACAAAGAAAAAGGGAACCACAATGAATGTTATCCAGTGCTATGCACCCACCAGGGATAGCAATAAAGACGATAAAGATCAATTTAATGAGAGACTGCAGTCCATTGTAGAGAAGTGGCTATGAAAGGACTCGATTATCCTGATTTATTTACTTATTTGTTTATCTGAACACATAAATATTGGTACAAGAGGGCACCAAATATATATGTACCACACAAATTAATTATATTTGTGTGAGAGCTGTGATACTGCACAGGTGCCCAGACCGAAGCAGGTGGTTATCTTAGGGGGCCACTCCCCGAGCCTTTGACCTAAAGGTCTGACCCACAAGGCAATGGAGCATCGTGAGGAGATGCCATTCCGTGGTAGCCGGTGACCAACCATTGGTTCATACACCATTTGTTCCTTCAGGATACTCGAGCCCATGTGCACCATTGGTTTGGGATCCGGTTAGAGCTCCGGACATTCGCTTTTCGTCCTCTCGATTTCGTAAACAACACCCCCGCCACGAGAAGGCAGTGAGTAGGACTTCCCTGGCAGGGGCTGTATACGCGTGGTCGTGTGAGAGCATTTCGAGAGCCATACCAGGGCATTTGGGGACAAGTGAAAACCTTGGGTAAAGTTGGATGATTTAGGGTTTGCAAATGATATAGCCCCTCTATTTCATACACATTTACAAGTGAAAAACAAAATCCTGAAGTATAACGTAGTGAGAACCAACCCAATCACATTATGAAGGAGCTCTGGAAGAGGCGGAAAGTTTTATGCAACTGGGTAGCATCGTCGATGAACAAGAAGGATCCGATGCAGGTGTGAAGGCAAGGATTGGCAAACTAACGACAGGGTTCCTACTATCGAAGAATATATGGAACTCAAAACAACTGTCAGCCAACATCAAAGTCAGAATCTTCAATATGAACGTCAAGAAAGTCCTATTGTACAGAAGTGAAAATTTAAGAACTACGACATCCATCATTAAAAACGTATGGATACTCATAAACAGTTTTCCACACAAGACGTCTTATATCCGTTGGCCGGATACCATCAGCATCAATCTACTACGGCATAGAACAAACCAGATGCCGGCTGAAAAGGAAATTACGAAAGACACTGGTAGTGGGTAGGATATTCGTTGAGGAAATCATCAGTGCATCACCAGCAAGCCCTAACTTGGAGTCATCAAAGGCAAAAGGAATAGAGGCAGACCAATCAACACGTTGCGCCAGAAGCTGTAGGCAGATATCAAAATAAAAAATAGCATTCGGCAACAACTGGAAAGAACACAAGATCGAGTAGGTTGAATGTCCCTGACCGGCGGCTTGTGCTGCACGAGGAGTAATAGACGCATGTACGAAAGTAAGGTTATATATAACTTGGTAGGCATATTGTCCTAGATTTTTGTTTTAAGTAAGTGACGAATTTTAATTATCTTTCGCAAACTTATTATAATAATACTTTATAATAAAGTACAGGTTTATGTATTAGCCAGAATTGGTGGTTGGAGATATACTATTCCAAAGACTGAAGTCTTGGGTCAATGACCCAGTAACAGTAATTTGTGGACTTGAGGTTGTAACCTATTTTATCCTTTTGAAAAATAAACAATTCAGATGTTGAATTCTGAGGACATCTTTACAATTGAACAAGAAACACATCACGTACCTGTGGAATGTTATCTCTTATATCCCATATCTGGACATCTCCTTTATCAGAACAACATAGTAACGAAGATATTCCAGGTGAATAGTCGATATCCACAAGATTTGTTTCAATAGGTATCTTTTTGCTGTCATTATTTGTTTGCATTGATGGTAAATGAAGTGAATGCAATTGAAATCCTCTAACTTCATATACCATATCATGATTATTATGAGTAACAAGAATATTGTCACTATACTTTTGAGGTAAATGGCTTACAATATTTAACATATTGTGCTGAGGAAATGGTAACTTGTTGAGAAACAAAACTGTAAGGATTAAGAGTTAATAAAAACATTTGAGGTTAGTGATAAACTTCAGAATAGATATCTATACAATAGGATTTATTTTGATTCAATAAAGAACTGGGGAACTGTGACAAGAAAAACAAGTATTTACAAGAACATAACCGGATATTTCCGAATCCTTACGGAAATTGAGGTGAATGTTTATCATGAATACGGTTAAAACAATCATTCATAAATATGAAACAGACTGGATGAACTCCAGTTTGTATCATGGATTATGATTTAACGAATGATGTATAGCCTGAGGACTGTTTAAATCAATTAAATAGAATGCTTATCGATAGGTGATACACAGTTATACGATATATGACAAATGTTTATAAGGAAGGACAATTGGTGCAAATTTCGGATTGGACTAAGGTTAAAAACAAGACAGTAAGAAGATTAGGTTTCTCTTTAGTACAATGAAATATTCAAATAGAAACAGTAAGATACAAAATAAACATAGTTATACACCATAGGGACTGAAGGATATGAATTTTGTAGGTCACTCACTGGCTAATGCGATTACGAAAAGGCTGTCAGGTTGTTTAAACTTGTTACTACCAGAAAAATGTCAAGAAAAACGTTTTTGCAGTAGTAACAAGCAAAATAGTACATTTTTCTCAAGACTCAACGGACGAGTATACTGTATACTTAGGAAGTTCGCCTTTAATTCCCCAAGTCAATCAAATTATCTGAGTACAACATGAAACAAAATAGTGGTTTGAATGAGAACGATTTATTATTAATTTTTACATGAGTAGTGGGCAATAATATTTGCATAGGAAGATCGGAGAAACGTCAACATCGAAGATGACAGAAAAATTAATTGTCGTCAACCATCATCTAAAAAATAATTAATGAGGGGTTTGCGTACATATGTGAAGAAAACTTGGTCCCGACGAGATGCTCATATATTTCAATGTTGAGACGCTACATTTAATTAGTTTCAACATACTCGATGCAAGCGAGAAGCTTGATATGGGTTCAAAGAACATTTATTTACTGATCAGTATAAGTGAATGTAACCCAATTTATAATTTACTCAAGTCAGCGATTTTTCCTAAGAATGATCAAATTCTTTCCCGAAAATTCACCCAAAATTACCCGGAATTTTTTAAGCAAGGAAAAACATGGTTTTAAGAAAGGTCTATCATGCGGGAGAAGATTGGGCTGCACCGAAAGACAGAAATATTCCAGTGAATGTAACTCTCATAGATCTGAATAAAGCCGTTGAGTCTTTCGGCGATACTATAATTTATGGACTACCTTTGAACGAATCTTAGGTGGAATTGATAAGTGTTAGCCAATCAGCAAACAGTCAGTAGAGTAATAATATATTATGAAAAACCAAAGAAATAATGTGGATACATTTTTTATACATGGTTCATTTAACTTATCAAGGCTAGAAAAAGGTTCAGAGGTTCTAAAATCGTAATGCATGAAGTAGAGGAAGTCATCCATATAGCTAGAGAACAGTCGACATCTGGAGCCATGATAAAGTTTCAAAACCTTTTTCAGCCTCGACCACATAGTTTCAATATTGTTTGTGTGCACTCCGGTTTTACGCAAAATACCAATAGCGGATAACGACACGATGTACAAAACCAAGCCCATGCAGGAGTCTGTACGCTCTCCAATCATCCGTATATATTGTAGTACCTGGCTGCAGCCAGTGTTACAGGTGATTTTATTATCCAGTTCTCAATAATTATCATGATTTGCTTTAGTTAGGAATTATATATAGGGTTTTCATCACGAACTGATATAAGCTATAATGCCAGAAATCTACTTAGCCAAATAGATAAAAAGCTTTCGCGCCAAAATCCGAGATCCGTTATCTTATACCTGCTCGATTCGTCCACAAATTATGGTCTCACCGTTTTATTTCTTATAGACGCTCAACTATCACGTTTTGTACAAAATCCCCTGTGAATCGATCGCACGTTAGCATTATGCACTGAACTTGTCGCCGTGACCTTGAAATATCTAAGACGCTTTTGATTGGCTCGTCCATAAGTTGCTTGCTGATTGACTAATATTTATCAAGGTAACTCAAGAATCTTTCAAAAGTCGTTCACAAATTATAGTTACGCCAAGTTTTTAAATCATGTAAAAGAAGAATATCCACTATAATTCATTACTTATTTATAATATATTTTCACTTTATACTAACTGTCTTCTGATTGGCTGATAATTGTCAAGGTCATTTAAGATTCGTTCAAAGGTCGTCCCTAAGTTAGAGTCTCACCGCGAAGTTCAGTGAACGCGAACGTCTGCATCCATCGGACTGCGGACTGTCAAGTCAGCAGTTCCCTTTGTCATCTGAAGAGAAACTGCAGATGCTGGACACTGGTTTGCAGCAGAAAGAAATCAGGGACAGATTTGTAAGTCAACAATATTAATTGAATAATTTGTTCGTATTACAGATGGCAATGGTAACGAGGTTAATGGATAATGATCCTGAAACCTCAATGCGATATATTTTGTCGTACCTCATGACACCTGAGGTGGCCAGTAATTTCACGCTACTTGGCACTTCTTCAAAATGAGCACTTCAGAAATGCCGGTTTTACGGCTGCATATGAAGTAATCTATGTCTATTATTTAAACTTCAGGTGCATTAACAAATCGCTTTTTGTCATCCTCTGTCAATGAAAAAGACGTTTTGAAGCTGTACGACATGGCGACACAAGGTTATTTTCACGACGTCTGAGACAAATTGATAAAGCGTAATAGGAGAAAACAAGAGCAGGTATGCACTAATTTAAAGTGATAACTTGTCTATTGCTCTATAGTTATAGTCAACAGTATTAACGAACATAACCGTAAGTGAAGCTTCAAGTATCTGGCTGTGCCAAAGCATGTCATCTAGATATCGTTGTAACTTCTTTTGTTCTTTACACTTCAGAGTTCACAGGAAGATTATTTTCATTCTCAATAGTGGAACATACGTGGCTAAAGGAAGTAATCCGTGAAATGTATTTTACGTTCTACTTATTTTTTTTAACAAACATTATTTTGTAAATGAGCCTACTTTATTACCCAGGCTCCCAACATTGGGGAAAATTTAGTCCATTTTGGGGAAATTTCCCCAGACCTGGGGAACTTTGGGGAAATCCCCAAAGTTAACTTAAGTTATTGGGAATACAACTGACTACTGAATTTTTGTAAGTGGTATAAAAGAATATACAAAAGAACAAATAAACTAGGGTTGTGGAGATAGACCTGACAACCTTATTTTGTAAATAATTTTCAATGTTATTTCTATTTGTTTTATCAATTTTTCACTGTATGTACATTTATCATTAAATGACTGTACGTGTTGTTTTAGTCAACGACCTTGAACACTTTTTCCGTTGTAATTCGAACGTAGCGTGACACTTATTTTCGGTTGTTCACAAATACACTACTACGCACATACCCATTGTTCTATTGTCGTTCGTTACCAAGTCAATTGCTTTCTAAACTGGATATTATCCTCATTTCAGACTGCAGTGTCATTCCCATTATATCCTACGTCAAAGAAACTTATTGGCGTCATATTTACCTCTGTGGAATTATTACGCATTTATAATTGTGGAATTTTGAGACCAAAACTCGACAGAACACGCAATGACTAGCCGATTTAAGTAACGTCCCTAATTTGTTATTGTATTTGTAACATTTAACTTGTAAATATTAATATTACTATTGATTGTTATTAACTTTGTTGATACTTTTGCGTTTATATATTGTTTGGTCCACCACAGGGTTACGTCTGTTAAAGCCTGCGAAGCCAGGTGAAAGGGAAACGAACACGATAGCTATATCATTTTGGGGAAGCTTCCCCAAACCTTTGGGTTTTCCTGGAAAACTGTTTTAACGCAAAAGCTTCACGAAAGCCCATCGATATCACGGAAGATCTAGGGAGAATGCTTACGTACATTTCTTACTGCGATGTTTTATTACTTTTCGTCAATCGCGCATTGCTAATGAAACCTAATGTTAACCGATTTATCGCGATTATCAAAAGACTGATTTATGAAATATATAAATGTTTATTACAGTTAATAAAATTACAAATGAATCATTTATACAAAGTTTTACATTGCGTTGTAACAGCAACACCTTACGTAGACGTAGAACTGTCATTGATAATGTTCTAAAAAATAAATAAATAAATCATTTTTAGTGTATAATAACGTGTCAAGATATGTGAAAGGTTGATGATGTACCAACAGTATAACAATGTTCTTACAGTTACGTCTGATAAAGCCTGCGAAGCCAGCTGAAAGGGAAACATACAAGAGACAAGTTATATCACTATGAGTATTGATCACAAAGTAATAAGCTGTTACAGTAATTAAAGTACAGTGATTATAGTGATAAATACAATGATAATTAACATCCTGTGAATTTTGGGGAAATCCCCAAAGTGAACTTCAGTTATTGGGAATACAACTGAATACTGAATTTTATTAAGTGGTATTAAACAATATACAAAAGAGTAGGAAGGGGAACGAGTAGGAACAATGTGTGACAAAGTTAATATATGTATTATAACAAACATATTAAGTAGTTTTAGCTCACCCTTTCTTTGGATCGCCATCCACATTTATGTACTTTATCTCTTGCGTCATGCAAGAAGGCCTGGCTTGCTGTAGCCATGGCGTGTATTATTTCCTTTTCCGGGCAGCTTGCACTTCGGAAATGTGAACACAAAGCACCTACAAACATGTTAATACAGTAAAGTGGACTTACTTTGAACCGTCGAGTAAAATTTGTACTTACTAATACCAAATTTACTTCTGGTTCCGTGCAAGGTGTACGTGTTTGCCAGTTCCGGAGAAAGGAGGTATTTCAGACAGGCTTTTGCTGATTTCCGAAGATCATCACGTAGTAGATGGTATAATCTTCCCATCTATAATTTCTTCAAACACCGGTTACAACTTACGAAATGATCCCGGAATTTTTTGTTCTCTAAAGCTGTCTCTAAAGAACGCAACTCGTCATGAGTTCGTAATGGGAAAGTGATTGCATCACTATCCGTATCTTCCATACGTCTTTCACTTACACCCATGGCTAAGCGTTCGCATACAGCGATCAGTCTGTCCATCTTGCTAGATAGTTCAGTTACTGCTTTTAGGATATTTCTGAACATGTGATGTATATCATCGCACAAACTTTTGTTATCAGGAATAAAGTAAATGCAACTTACGGTTTATCACCTTCAGTCGACGTACGTAGAATTGGTGATGAAAGGTCAGCTTTCGATGAACTGATATATGAGTATTGATAAAGTAGGTACAAACCTCGCAATCGGAGAAAACGTTCCTGTTGAAATGTTGACAACTGGAAATTCCACCGGGGCAAATCCAGCCTCAACCTCAGCAACCTCTAGTTCTTCAGAGGTGCATAGATAATCCTTGTGCTTTCGTTTGACAGTTCTAACACAAATGATATAATAAGTTGAACAATTTACCTTTTTGGTTTTTCAGCGTCACAAGGCTGCGTTTCATCGTTAGTCGTGATGTTAGTATTGTAGCCCAGTACTGTTGCTAAACACACTTTTAATTCCTGGGCTACATTGTAGTCGTCTAAAAACAATAAATGTTAATTGATTACAACTTACCACAACGATGCATAACGGCACATTTTCTCACGTTGAATCGACTGTCAACATCAATACCCTCAACAATTTCGTGCTCATCACGATAAAGGTAATGGTCGTTGGTCAGGAGCCATTTGTTCGGAATGCAGACCACTTGCTTGTTCTCCTTATCGTCAACTAAGATGTACTTTCCACTTTGATGCTATAAATGAATGCGCATGCGTGAAAAATTGTACATTTATTGCATTGATGAAAATTCACTAACACTTCCTGATGGAGGACGCAAAATCACTAACCAACAGACTCTTACTGGCTAAAGTGCTATATTTGCAACAGTCCTTGAGAAATGATGTCACATCTACTACTAGAATGTATGCAAAAGAGGGATAATGACCTCATAATGTTGTGTGCGCAAGCACATGCACTTACAAAGTATGTCTGTTAGTGTTATCCACGTGCATTCGTGGCTTAGGGCAGAACACTTAAACATACCAATATTACTGGAGGGAAAAGGGTCGGTATATAAATCGGAAGGATTATGGAATGGCCGGAACCTAATAAGGCCTCTATCACGTATTTCTGTTACGAACCCTGGTCTACCTTTGGCAATAACTACATTGTCCGGCCTTGTAGTATATAGCTTTGAGTTCCTGTAACTGACCATTTGCTTGGAAGAATCATCAGTTACCTCAGGCTCAGTGACATTGTCAGCCATATCCTGATTCAGTATACTTTGAAAGTAAACTTCTTCGGCATATCGCTGTGCGGCTTGTTTAGCCACAGCAAAGCCACAGTGTACTGAACGCCTAATTTTTCTCATGTAAGTATACTTACATGGGAAACTATTGAAGTGTTGAGAAAGTGTGCTTGATTGTCAATGAAGTTGCGATTAAATACACATGCTTTATTAATAATACATAACCTGTTTCTTTTTTTGGAGATCTTTTCAAATAACAATGAATTGGCAATTACAATGAAAATGCATAACGATTGATACTCAAGCTTCTGCCATAATGTTGTGTAATGATACGCTTTCCCTTTTCAATAAATTTATTTGGACATATACCATTTTTCACGTAGATTGCAGTTTCAGTGTGGTGTGTTGTGGGAATAAAGGCGAACACAGGTGACCTTTGGTGTTATGCAAAAGTAGACAATCCAGCGTATATTTAGGCGAAAAGTAGACAATTCTGCGACATTCGAGAAACAGCGACAAAAAGGGTGGAACCCGCATCATTTTCCCGGACAGGCAAAAAAGCAGACATTTTTGGCGCGTTTCCCTTTTATTTTCCAACGCATGTTCGCCTTTTATTTCCGCTTTATTAGTTGTTTGGGTAAATACAAGCTATGTTATGAAGATATACACTGGTCAGGTACTTGTAGTTCTCATTTTGTTAGTGTTAAGTCAGCGCTAAATCTCAAACCAGAGGAGTGGCTACGAAAGTTGTACTAACTGATGACTCCTTTATCCTTGATTGTGTGCATATCACGAATCCCAAATCTAATACATCCAGTTTTGCTCAGCTAGATCTGCCTGCTTTAAGTTGAACTACTTCAGGAATTCTTATTTATTAAATTAGGTTGAATACTTCTAATTATCACAGTGGCTTGCCTGACTTTAAATTAGTTTTTATTTTTATCTGACACGTGGAAGTATTGCACACTCAATTTAACTTGAGGTAAAAAAAAATATAAATCTATCCGACTTCTATTCGGTTTAATTGTAAGTTACAGTCATAACCAACGTGGAGTCTGGTACAAATGTTTGTAGCTCAAATCGCCATAGCAAGATGAAAAGAGGGTTCAAATAATGCAGTAGTAATGATAATGAGAAAGGCAATATTAGGGATATGGTATTTAAAAATTAGAATAAAGCAATAGATCTAGATTAGGATGAATATGCACTCATTCATTCTGTATTTGAATCTAGAATCGACGGATCGTCAGTATTGGTTTTCGCATTTAGTCGCTCATAGTCTCCAGTTGGACAGCTACCTTAAAAGACGTTCGTGGAAGTCAGCTGCTGCGTGGCAGACCCAGGCTTCGATACTGTCGGGCCAACTGGCTTTAATGGAAATGAGGGAGGCGAAAGGGTTCTAATCTTAAATAACTTAGGAGTGTGTTCCACCATGACGAATATTAAATATACCAATGAACGAGAGAAAAATATCACAGTATGTAGAAATCCAAGTGTAAAAGTGATATGTAGTGTCCCAACAAGGAACAGACAGTCTACGAGTTAGTGTACCAGATCGCATCGGGCCGACCACTAACGATGCCATAAGTACTCGGAGTTTGACAACGCCTTAACTAGTAACATCCTTAGAATCGAAGTATGCCAACCCACTCAAATCAAAAGTCATGAATGAAGGAGTTCGAAGATATATTTGGAAGATTATCGGCATGTTGAAGGAACGTCTGGTCTAAGCCGGCTAGTAGTTGAAAAGAGTGAGTAGCACAGCGTACCCACTCGTGGTCTGGTGCGGATGCGTGACCGAGCGCCTTCAGCTAGGTGAGTCCATTAAAACGAATGTGGTCAGCATCCAATGTCGAAGACATACAGAGCTATTGATTTTGGGGATTTATTTGCCGCTATAGAATCATCAGTTAGTACAACTTTAATAGCCACTCCTCTGGTTTGAGATTTAGCGCTGACTTAACACTAACAAAATGAGAACTACAAGTACCTGACCAGTGTATATCTTCATAACGTAGCTTGTATTTAGTTAAACCATCAACTGGGTAATGATGAAAAGGTTGAACATAAATATAGACCAACAATAATAAACACTGCAACAAGTCTAAATCGAATCTTATACTTACTACAGTATTTGAGAGTCCAATATCCACATTATTCTTCTGCTAACTAGTAGCAAAGTGAGTAAAATGATTGTGAAACGTTATTTTTTGAGGGTATAGAGTGAGAATGACAATGCTAAATATAGCGAATGTCTAATTTCGTCTCTTTAGATCGTACACGGCATCTACAGTGCCTCTAGTTCCTTATCCTGTACCCTTTATTCTAAAGACTTTAACTAGTGAAACTATATTTCATGGACGAAATAAACAGATACCATCTCCTAAATTTTTTTAAGCGAAGTCCACTCATGCACACGGACACAGTGCACTTTTATGTGATAGGTGATGTCATTTCGTGATGAAAACCGTAACTCTGATCCTAATTAGGAATGATGTTGAGACTTAAAGATCTGTTTGGATCTATATTAGTGTTAAAGAACATGGACAAACTAAATCCATTAGGACGAGTTCGTTGTTTTTTATTTACAGGCAGATTAACTTGTAGATGTTAATAGACTAAGTAATCGTATAAAATCTCTCCACGCTTTACAATATTATTGTTTTCTTTTCTATAAACTATCCATTTATAAAAGCTGCTTTCTGATTGGCTAGAGAAGTAGATGAAAATTCATCGCGATTGTTTTAATTTCGTTCCCATACAATACTTTAACCGCCCAGTGAAGTTTGAGTAAACAAAAAACTTAAAAGGAAACTATGAAGGTATATTGTATGTACATTCTTATAACAGAGAAATCACGTTTCAAATAGAGTCTTCTGAATAGGAAATGGAAGGACTATAACTTGGATGTATTGATTCATGGTAAATATCTTGTTCAAAATCATCATCAACATCAAGGCACAAGCTTGGATCGAGTTGATTTGAATTAGTTTCATCTACTATAGAGGGAGGAAAATAAGTTGGAACTGGAGGTGGATTAGCATTTAATTCATGTCGACGATTTCTTAACCAAGAGTCGTTCAAATGGCAGTAGGCATGTACAGGCCCTGGTGTTGTACCTGTTACATATATAAGTCCAAGTTTTGGATTAATCCTCACAATCTGGAGAGAATAAATATACGAGAATATGAAAAAAGCACGAGAAATTGTCTCAAGGTATAGATATGTATATTCTTAACAAGTTCAATAGAATAAAACTAATAAACGTATTAGGTCCTAGTTCAAGTAAGCTTCCCATTTAATTGGAAGCTGAGTTACTTGCTTATACTTGTGCTCTTAAAAACCACTTGATCACTTTCCTTTTATATTTGAAACAGTTCTGTCATTACGTTTACGTCAAAGTTCAGGTGGTTTCATTTGAAATTTATTATCTATGGGGTTACATAACCTTGTTGTAAACTCACATTTAGTTGCTAACAGATGGGAGCAATCAAACCAATTGAACAACCTCAGGCCAAAGAGATTATGTTTATCAAGTAATATATAACGTCGTTGATCGCATAGATGGAATGTATCCTCGATCAATGGCAAACAGACTAGCTCTATAACGAACCAACGGTGACTGATATTGATAGAATCTGCTAGAAATCTACCAGTTTCAATTGCTAATTTTGATAAGTCACTACCAAAAGAGTACAGACCTCCTGCTTCTGATAATTTTTCATAATTACTTGAAATTCAAATAGTGCTATACAAAAAGCGTAACCAGGTAATCTAGAAAACCTAGAAATTTAATGCGAATTAAACAAACTTGATTACAAAGCTAGATGAATATAATGTGATGTAATTTACTTACTAAGCACAAATTCATGTGCTCGATGAATGATACTACCTGACTGCTTAAGGTGAGGTAGGCAAAAATGGAACTCGAACTTAGAACCTGGTGTCTCTACTAATTAATATAAAGACTTCATCTAAAAACCTAATCAGTAGGCTCAAGTATCCAGGTCATACCAACAATGAAATGTTAACATCTATTGAATGATAGAAGTGATTGTTCGTTGTATTCTTCCTGTGATTATTTGCTAAGCTCCATACTATTTCTGTAGGTCTATAAAACCATAATTCACAATAACATATTGGAGCACATTATCTTCAAAGTAACTGAATTGCTTGATCATTGAGATTTAAAATCTTATAATATAGAATCACAGGAAGTAAGCCAAAACAGTTTTTACTGTTAGGTATTATTTACTACTAGACTAAATAAATTTTACTAGAAAAATCAGACGTATTTAGGACATTTTTATAGTGCATACAGCTTGGTGGTATGCATCAATGATCTAAGGTATTCACAAACACAATAATCAGACATATATGTTTGCACAATATACTGTAGATTTTACCCGGTGTAAAGTGTAGTATATTCATTTATATTGATAAATCGAAAATTGGGAGGGGTGTGGATTGGAATCTATAATTGAAAATCACTAAAAAAACATCCTCATCTTTATCAAAAAAGAGTAATATCGGACAATGAATGCAATACCTTTTAGTAACAAAGAATGCAAAAGTTCATAACGTGGGGTTGATTAATATAATCATTGGCAGAGGGAGTGATGGTGGTAAACGTTAAGAAAATCAACAAAACAGTGGATAGTAAATAGTGTATTACTGTTTGAGACTGATAAAGTACTTACTGAATAGAATATTAGACACAATCAACGTGTAATAAGCCCTGTAACATGTATTACTAAACATATCTTTAAGTGTTAACACGTGTACATATTCAGTCTTGTTTTTGTGATTTTTATTTATTTGAATACATAAAAAATGACACAAGAGGGTACCAGATATATATGCCCCATACAAAACAATGTAAGGTGCGTATAAGAAAGAAAGGAAAAAAAAGAACGAAAACGACCACAGATTACTGTATGGTAGTGTAATAATAAGTAATAAAAGTGGGGGAAACGGGAAGGTACAATCAGAAAGAATTCTTTCAGTTAAGGAAAACACAACCACTTTTTATGAAGAAAGTAAAAGGTTACAGCAGGATCACCACTGGCTTCTATTCTGAGGCATATCTGATAACGTCTCTAGCCACTGCGTTGCACCATCTCTCGGACCCCAACCAGGGAGTCGAGAAGGATCAACACAATCCAGCCCTTTGCAGTCTTCTTTCATGCCACGACATCATGTCATATACTGACCACCTCTCTGCTTTTTCCAACCAGTCCCAGAGTCGGCAAATAATGCACGACGTGGAATTCTCTGGGACAACATTCGTAGAACATGTCCAAGCTACCGAAGTCGATGTTTCAAGATGGTGACACCAATTGCATTATCGTCTCTGTGCCCGAACACACGATGCCGAACCTCTGCATTACTAACATGGTGTTGTCACTGGATGTCAGCAATCCTTCGGAGACAACGATGATCGAACACAGAGAGTCGTCTAACATCCTTAACTCGGAGAGGCCAGATTTCACAAACATAGAGCAGAACTGCTCTCACCAACGCGTTTTAGATCCGACCTTTTACAGCCAGACTGACCCAGATTGGCATAAGCCGCTCTAGTTTTCACTATACGTGAATCGATCTCATCACTCACACCCCCACCAGCACTTATGTAGCTACCTAGAGACACGAAATTTCACGTTTTTAGTGGAGCATGAACCTTGTTATTACCATAATAATGATCTTTGCTGTGTGGTACGTTTTGCTAACAACTGATTTTAGCTTTTGTTTTAATACAAGGCTATTTAATTTACCGCTGAACGGTGGGGTGATGTACGTACGGTTTTTTGAGCCAGAAATGTAGTAGGTTTCACTCTGCTATGACCTTTCCATCGACTTATAAATTTTAAATGATAACCATGTTTCGTCAATGTTCTGTTCAACATCACTTCATGTTTATTTATTTATTTTATGTCAACACATAGATAATGGTACAAAGAGGCACCAAATACATATGCGCCACACAAATCTCATTCGATATGTGTGAGGGCTGTGATACTGCCCGGGTGCCCAAACCGAAGCAGGTGGTTATCTTAGGTGGCCACACCCCGAGCCTACAACCTGAAGATCTGATCCACAAGGCAGTGGAGCATCGTAAGGAGATGCAGTCCCATGGAAGCCAGTGACCAACAATTGGTTCATACGCCATTTGTTCCCGCAGGATACTGGAGCCCATGTGCACCATTGGTTTTGAACCCGGTTAAAGCGCCGGACATTCGCTTTTCGTCCTCTCATTTTCGTAAACAACAGTAATGCCACGAGAAGGCAGTGAGTAGGACTCCCCTGGCAGAGACTATATACGCGTGGCCGTGTGAGAGCATTTTGAGAGGGAGAGCGGACTCTCCCCACTCTCGGACGTACCAGGGCACTAATATATCACATAGTTCTAGTAATCTCCGTCTTCTTACTACATTATCCAAATTTATCAAAGGGACTACAAGTATCAAAAGTCTAGAACTAAATTTGTACAAACCGTCGCCGAGCTTGCTGTTCAGTCACAAAATATTGATGTTCTACTTTAAATGGACACTGGATTATATATTTTATAATAATTAGTCGAATAGCATTAGTATCACTTCCTATATAAACGTAGAACCTGATACAGGATACTGGGAAATTTCTACTAGAATCACTGATTAGAAATAGAAAGCTCACTAACGTCTAAGACTGCACTTGATTTACAAGTTCATCTATCATTGAGGAGATACCACATATAAATCAAACCATCAGAATGGTCGATGGACGTCGAAAATAAGATTAAATCAAATAAATAAATAAACAGAAATTAAAATCTATTTATCAATAACTAATTAGAAAGTCATTTCGAGAGACTGCTTTACAGTTGTAGTCCATAATTGTTAACTTAATCATAAGTGATGGATACGATTGACGTTTATTAGTCCCTAATTTTACGCAGACATTAGGGATTGTGAAGATTTATTTGCTGTATCCGGTTGACTGTTTTGTGACTAGTATTTCTCTAAGTGATATCGTTTGGTACACAAATAAAGATACTGAAATAGCGGGCAGGAATCAAGCCTAATCGTCAAGTTTTCGTTTTACTGGTGACTGGGTGACTTAGTTTGTGTTAATAATTAGGTTTCGTGAGCACTTAAAACCCAACCACACTACCACTGTTGCACTATCTACCTATCAGTCAGGATTCAGCTCATCATTTTAACATACTAAAACATGCACATTATCATAAATCCTGAGAACACCTCTAAAACAGAAGCATCAAAAAGGGTTCATCTGAAAACATTCATCTTGTCTTTTTTAATATTCATCATATATATTACCTCAAACTGAGTTATATCCTTAAAGTTTACATCACGGACTAACCTTAATTACAAAATCAATGAAAGCCATGAAGCACTGGATAACTGTTTCGTCTTAGTACCAGACTCCTCAATAATGTTCACCCGTGAAGCCATCAGGAATCAAACTCAGGATATTCAGGTCAACTATCTCCACAATCCCTTATACTTAGTCATGAGACAAATATATAAAGGATTCTGTAAATTATTTTAGGAAAAAAAACAGAACTTGGCTTACCATTACACCACGTAAGCTTCTGAATCGATTACCCATAACACCTGCCATACGTTTGCCTCGAGGGATTACTCCCTGAAAAATGGAAGAATAATTTAAATGTGATCAGGAGAAATAAAGTAAAACGTACAAATTATATATACACATTTGTAATATGTGATAGCAATGTGCTACAATACTGATAATCGCATCTTTAATTAAAATATATCAATAATAATACTCCTAGTTTAATGAAATATACAAAAGAAACGGAAATGCAGAAAAACTGCCCTCTTTATAATATGTTGAATATATATATATATATATATATATATATATATATATATATATATATATATATATATATATATATATATATATATTGATTGATCACAGAGTAGTAACCAGTGTTCTGCTTGTTTATTTCCTAATCTTAGTCGAATGCTATCGGTCAAGCATAGAGCACATGATGACAAGTTGTTTGGACTAGTGAATACATAGTGGTTTGATTTTTAGAGCTTGATCAACACTAACAAGAGACTAAATAGACATGGTATTAGCTACTACTCAGTGATCAATCAGTGCAAATTTGTTAATTATATAAGTCAGTCGCGACCCAAAATACCAATATTAAACGTCCTTAACTGTAATTTTTAAGTGAAACTGGTTCGAGTCTTACAGGGAGGTAATTACTTTGAATAACTGTTCTACTTACTTCAATTCCTGCATTACTTCCCATTCTACGATGAAATTTAGTAGAACCATGAGCAGCAGGTCCACCTTTCATTCCCCAACGTTCAATAACACCTTCAAAGCCACGATTAGTGCTGTAAGAAGAAAGATACTGAATTAAAATTAGTAGGTAAATTGTAATTACTGTACAGACGCCCAACTTTGAGAACAACAGGCTGGATTCCGTAAGGATCGGTCGTGCACAGACCAAATTGCGACACCACGGATCATCGTCGAACAATCAGTTGAGTGGAACTCGTCACTATACATCAACTTCATTGACTATGAAAAGGCGTTTGACAGTGTAGATAGGAGGACATCATGGAATCTTCTTCGACACTATGGAGTTCCTGAGAAGATTGTCAACATTATTCAGAACTCATACGACGGACTACAGTGCAAAGTAGTGCATGGAGGACAGCTGACAAATGCATTTCAAGTAAGGACTGGAGTCAGACAAAGCTGTCTACTCTCTCCCTTCCTCTTTCTTCTGGTGGTCGACTGGATTATGAAGACCTCGACATCTGAGGGAAAACACGGAATACAATGGACAGCTCAGAACCAATTAGACGGTTTGGACTTTGCAGATGACCTAGCCCTCCTATCGCATACACACGAACAAATGCAGATAAGGACAGCCAGTGTGGCAGCAGTCTCTGCATCAGTAGGCCTCAACATACATAAGGGGAAAACCAAGGTCCTCAAATATAACACGGAGAACAGCAATCCAATCACTCTTGATGGCGAAACTCTGGGAGATGTAGAATCCTTCACATACCTGGGAAGCATCATCGATGAACAATAAGGATGTGATGCAGACCAATATCAAAGTCAGAATCTTCAATACGAACGTCAAGGCAGTTCTACTGTACGGAGACGAGACTTGGAAAACTACTACAACCACCATTAAGAAGGTACAAGTATTTATAAATAGCTGTCTACGCAGGATACTCAACATTCGTTGATCGGATACCATCAGCAACAGCCTTCTGTGGAAGAGAAAAAACCAGCTTCTAGATGAAGAGGAAATTAGGAAAAGACGATGGAAATGGATAGGACACACATTACACAAATCATCAAACTGCATCACGAGACAAGCCCTAACTTGGTATCCTGAAGGGAAGCGGAAAAGAGGAAAGCCAAAGAACACATTACGTCGGGAAATAGAAGCAGATATGTTAAGGATGAATAAGAACTAGAAGAAGCTGGAAAGGATTGCCCAGGACAGGGTTGGATGGCGAATGCTGGTGAGCGCCTATGCCCTTTCACGAGGAGTAACAGGCGTAAGTAACGTAACAAGTAAGTACATAAATAGTTTGACATTATCTTTTGCAATTCAGATAGCAGTTTAATATTGCTACTGTTTTATGAGGGAAAAAACAGCACAACAATACAATGCTGTCACACTAGTTAGTTAATTAAAGAGTTATTTCTTTAAAATAAGTTGTTAATACGATTATGTAGAAAATAATGATCTCATGATAACTGAAACAAATTTAGGCATAATCAACAAAGTCTACATTGTTAATATACATTATACAATGGAAAAATATAACATTATACAAATTGGCGATGTAAAAATGTTGAGGGAAACATGATTAGATAAGATCATCAGTATATACCAGCAAAGAAAAATCTTCATTTACACATATACAGATGATTTACACATTTTTACAAAGTCAAAGAGCGGCAAGTATATTAACGTAATATCCACTTCTTCCACATATATTAGTTTTATTTTTTAGCTACTATTCGATTTTGTAGTATTTTAGATTACACATTTATCGATCCATTATATGATTATCACTTAATTTGAACAAGTTAGTAAGAAAATGACTGTGAACTAAAGCTCACTTACGCTTGTTACCCCTTGGCGGCATTTGACTCTGTTGATCGTAAGGTTCTATGGTAGTGTTTGTCACTGAAAGGAGTACCAAAGAAGTACATTAACCTTATACAGGCTCTCTACTTGAACACAACTGGTAGAGTGAGAGCTTATGGTGAACTGTCATCAGAATTGATTACCTCAAGTGGTGTTCGTCAGAACTGTCCACTCTCCCAATTCTTGTTCAACTTTGTGGTCGACGTACTTTTAGAGATAACACTCTCCTCATCTAAATTTACAGGGGTTGAACTTCTACCAGGAGGTTCACTTGTTGACTTAGAATATGCAGATGACATAGTTTTATTTGGTGAAGGCGCTGACAAAATGCAGAGTCTTCTGACCACTCTAAGCAACAATACAAGCATGTTCGAGATGCGATTCTCCCGCTCGAAATGCAAAATGTTGCTTCAGGATTGGGTTGTATTGACACCCGAACTAATGATAGGGAGTGAAGTAATTGAGCGTGTCGATCGCTTCGCTTATCTTGGAAGTCTCATCAGCCCTTGTGGTCTGGTGTGTGACGGAATCTCAGCACGGATACAGAAGGCTCGACTAGCTTTTAACAAATTGCGTCATTTATGGCGTAGGCGAGATATCTGTCTATCAACCAAAGGATGGGTTTACTGCGAAGCAGTTCGTTCCGTCCTACTTTATGGCAGTGAAACATGGCCGGTAAGAGTAGAGGATATTCGTAGGTTACTAGTATTTGATCATAGGTATCTTCGAAATATTGCCCGTATATCCTGGGACCATCGAGTAAGTAATGGAGTTGTTAGGAAACGGGTACTAGGTAAGGATGGCAAATCAATTGATGACGTAGTGAAACTTCATCAGTTGAGATGGCTTGGACACGTGTTACGTATGCCCAACCACCAACTGCCTCGACGTGCGATGTTCAGTGGTATAGGCTGGAAGAAAGGTAGGGGCGGCCAGACTAAAACATGGCACAAGTCCATGAAGTCACTGACAAAGTGGTCTGAGTCATGTCGGTAGGTGTAGACTACCTGGTTGGGGACCGCGAGATTATAGCAACCGATGGTTAGAGACCCTGAATGACATGACTCAAAATCGTTTGCAATGGCGCAGGTGCATAAACTCTTTGTGTTCTCCCAAATTTTGATCTCCTTATTCCTCCTTGTCTTTTTTTTTCTCTTACCAAATTTATTTCACTGTATTATACCCTTTAAATAACATCTCCAAACACTAATTTTCCCGATTACTGCTTATACTCTTATTACCTCTACCACTACGGGATAAGAGTCGACCACTGCATCTCTATGCTAATGTGGTATGGCAACTCGAACTGATGTACGTACGTACGAAGTTTTACGTTGTTACTGACTGACTGACTGTCGAGGAGCATAGGCTGCCCACCAACACCCTCTATCCAATTCCCAAAGCAATGTGCTCTTCAGCCTTCCACCATTCAGTTTAACTTCAGGATTCCGAGTTAGTGCTTCTCTCATGGTGCATTCTAGTGATCTCTATGATTTGTGTCCGATCCACCTCTTGTCTTTGCTTAATTTCCTCTTCATCTGGCAGTCGGTTTGTTTTCTACCAGAGTAGGCCGTTGCTGATGGTATCCGGCCAACAAACATTCGGTATCTTATGTAAACAATTGTTTAGAAATACTTGTGCATTTTTGATGATGGTTGTGGTAGTTCTCCCTACAGTAGAACTGTCTTGGCGTCCGTATTGAAGATTCTGAAGTTGATATCGGTTGACAGTTGTTTTGAGTTCCATATGATTTCCAATTGTAGGAATGCTGCCCTTGCTTTGCTAAACCTTGCCCTTACGTCTGCATCAGATCCTTATCGTTAATCGATGATGCTTCCCAGGTCTGTGAAGGATTCTACATCTTCCAGAGTTTCTCCATCAAGTGCGATTGGGTTGGTATTTTCTGTGTTGTATTCCAAGATCTTGCCTTTTCCCTTATGTATGTTGAGACCTGCTGCTAAACTGGCTGTCTTCACCTGTATTTGTTGCTGTTTATGAGATAGAAGGGCTATGGTGGTATAATTAACAATCTAACACGGTAAATTGGACTGAAGCTCTAAATTTGACTAAATGTTGTGTTGATGCAATCTAGCTAGTGGTGTTTGGATTCGATTTCACTTCATGTTGAACGTCAGTAGCTTATAAGGTGAATTACACTTAAATTTAATGTCATAAGACACCTCAAACTATATTCACTTAACTTTTAGTTCCGATTTTCAGCTAATTTACATTTGAGTTTTTAAAATGTTAACTAATGTGAAATGCTTTTTCCCCCTTAATGGTTTGTCAACTATTTCGCTTACTCTCCTGTTCTAGGTTCTTGTCTTGGCTGGGTGGATTGATATTACCAACCTAAAGTACACCTTTTTCCAGTCTCTCTGTAATAAACAGCTCATCTTCAAGGTAGATACAGATTTACTGATGAAAAGCAGTTATTACTTGACAGCAGATTAATCTCTACCTCAGACCAACCACCTTAAATTATTCGGTGGATACATCCAACATACTAATTAAATACAAGTTGATCTACTAAACACAATGACTACACTTGGTATCTGATGGTCACATGATACAATTAAGCTGCCAAGAGCTCTTGGTAAAGGGATGGTGTTCGAACTCGTGACTAAGATTCAAATTTGAGTGCGCAAGTCAATGTATTATGGAATGATTAATAAATAACTAATGCATTCAAGCCAAGAAAATAATCATGTGTTGAAAAATAAAGTAGTTTGATACCATATGAAATAAGACTGACTGATAAGTTTCGAACTGACAAAACAGCTTTTGAAAAATTTATGAACAGCAAAAAATTACACAAACATAGAATTTTAATTTCTAAAAAAGAGCAACTTACGTTCTTGCAGTTATATCCAAACGGTCACCTACACGAAAATGATGCACACTCAAAGGCGTTCCTAAATTTAAGACAGGAAACAAAATTCACCAACTGAGATCCTTTGATAAAATGTTACAGGATGAATAAATACTGAGGTTTCTGTACTAAACAATGTAGGGTCTGGAATAAATAGAGAGTTCATCATTTGCAGCTATCTGGGTAGCTGCATAAGTGCTGGTGGGGGTGTGAGTGATGAGATCGATTCACGTATAGTGAAAACTAGAGCGGCTTATGCCAATCTGGGTCAGTCTGGCTGTAAAAGGTCGGATCTAAAACGCGTTGGTGAGAGCAGTTCTGCTCTATGTTTGTGAAATCTGGCCTCTCCGAGTTAAGGATGTTAGACGACTCTCTGTGTTCGATCATCGTTGTCTCCGAAGGATTGCTGACATCCAGTGACAACACCATGTTAGTAATGCAGAGGTTCGGCATCGTGTGTTCGGGCACAGAGACGATAATGCAATTGGTGTCACCATCTTGAAACATCGACTTCGGTAGCTTGGACATGTTCTACGAATGTTGTCCCAGAGTGTTAGGATAGTCGGAAAAATATACCAATAGTTATCGTGTTAAGTCTACGGTGACCTTGGACCTTAAATGTACATTTCTTATTGGTCGATGTTTACTTCACTTGTTAAATATTGTACAAATGTTGTTTCCTATTTTATGGTACGATGTGGTTTGTTTGCTTGGTATATAAATAGAGTATGTTTGAAATACAATGATTCATAACTCAGGCAGTGATTTGTGTTCTTGACTCAATTGGCTGGGACAGACAGCGAAGCAGGGCCAATCAGGGCACTAGGTCGTCTACTACGTGTTCTCCATGTCACAGTCACAGAAGCGATCGATAAATACGCTGCGTATCAAACCCTGCAGTCACACCCGTTACAACACAGAGAATTCCACGTCGTGCATTATTTGCCGACTCTGGGACTGGTTGGAAAAAGCAGAGAGGTGGTCAGTATATGACATGATGTCGTGGCATGAAAGAAGACTGCAAAGGGCTGGATTGTGTTGATCCTTCTCGACTCCCTGGTTGGGGTCCGAGAGATGGTGCAACGCAGTGGCTAGAGACGTTATCAGATATGCCTCAGAATAGAAGCCAGTGGTGATCCTGCTGTAACCTTCTTTTACTTTCTTCATAAAAAGTGGTTGTGTTTTCCTTAACTGAAAGAATTCTTTCTGATTGTACCTTTTCGTTCCCCCATTTTTACCATTATTATTATTACACCACCTTACATCAATCTCTTTTTTTCCTCCCCTTTAAATTCTCATTGTTTTGTGTGGCGCATTCTTGTACCAATATTTATGTGTTCAAATAAAATAAAATAAACTGGAATAAATGTAAACTAGTTCAAGTTATCATATCATATCAACACAGTAAAATGAACATACCAAGACGAATGTCACAGTAGTATATCAGTTTCAGTTTGGAAATGACAAGAAGCTTGATGGCCTGTAGTAATAGTATCAATAGTGGATACCTCCAAATGCCTTGGTACGACCGAGGGTGGGGGGAGTTCGCTCTACCTCTTGAAATGCTCCCACATGGTCACACGCATACAGTCACTGTCAGGGAAGTCCTGTTTACTGCCTTCTCGAGGTGGGGGTGTTGTTTACAAAATTGAGAGGACGAAAACCGAATGTCCGACGCTTTAACCAGGTTGGTGGATATAGAGCATTTGCCTAGGAGAGCTGGAAATCCCTGATTCTCAAACAATGATGCATATGTGTTCCAGGATCCTGAGGGAACAAGAGGCGTATGAACCTATTGTTCGTCACAGACTACCATGGGATTGCATCTGCTAACGTTGCTCCACTGCATTGTGGATTAGACTTTTAGGTCAAAGGTTCTGGGCGTGGCCTCCTAAGAGAGCCATATGCACCCAAAGAGTATCACATCCCTCACACAAATCAACGGTAACTACTACTGGCATTATTGTCATTCTGTGGTGAACATGTATTTGGTGCCCACTTGTACCAATGTCTACGTGTTCGAATAAATAAAATCAATAGTGGATAAAGGGACTAAGCATAAACAATATAACCGGAGAAGAAAAACTGAATTTACAGGATAAAAAGTATAAGATGCTTTTAAAAATCAAGATCTAGAGAAAGACAAAGGACAAATGGACTTAAGTCATTGCAAGCGGTTATGAGCCATATCACTCGAGTTCTCCAACCGCTGGTCGCGGCCATTGTGAGGATTTCAACCACGTGGTCTCCATCTATCTGAAAAACCCAAACAAGTAGTCAGTGAATTTATGGGCTGATTCCACGTCTTGGTTTAGTCACCCTTAGCTTTCTCTCAACCTACTCCTACATCGCCCTGAGGGAGGCGCTGGCTGAGTATACATAGTAAGTGCCAATCCCATTTCTTTATGAAAATCTACTACCTTACCAAGTTGCTACACTTTACACCAGTACTACAAGAAGAGATTGATGAGATGCATCGTTAATACATACAAGTAATAGTAGTGTCAACGATGATAAATAAGAATAAACATTTAATCAGTATTCAGAAAAGTGAGAGATAGAAAAGAATGGAAGTGGAGTACAAATTCTAATTTATTTCTCCCCTACCCAACTAACTATCGGATGAGGTTATTAGAATAACAACTCTATTATAATATTTAAGGAGACCATAAATAGATGAAATGGGAAAAAATTAAAAAATCAAAGATAGTTAACTCATAAGCAATAGGAGCGGTTAAGTCAATGGTGGTAATATATAAAAGAAAGATTGCATATAAGGATATAGTACAGGAAGAAAGAATTAGTTCGTAGAAAGAAAGATATGAAGCGATTTTAATCTCTACTTTAAGGGAAGATAGATAGTGTATACACCGACGCCATTGAAATCGACGCTGACAAAATGCAGAGTCTTTTGTTAGCAATAAGCAACAATGCCAGAATGTTTGGAATGCGCTTCTCTCCCTCGAAATGCACGTTGTTGCTTCAGGACCGGTCTGCATCAACACCCGAACTAAGGATAGGGAGTGAAGTAGTCGAACGCGTTGGCAACTTCACTTATCTTGGAAGTCTGATCAGCCCTAATGGGTTGGTATCTGACGAAATCTCAGCACGGATTCGAAAAGCTCGCTTGGCTTTCGCCAACTTGCGTCACCTATGGCGAAGGCGAGATATCCGTCTATCAATAAAAGGACGGGTATACTGCGCGGCAGTTCATTCTGTTCTACTTTACGGCAGCGAAACATGGCCATTAAGAGTAGAAGACACTCGTAAGCTATTAGTATTTGACCACAGATGCCTTAGAAATATTGCTGGCATCTGCTGGGATCACCGGGTAAGTAATAGTGAGGTTAGACGCAGGGTATTAGGGAATGATGGTAAATCAGTTGATGAGGTTGTGAATCTTCATCGACTGAGATGGTTGGGCCACGTGTTACGTAGGCCTGAACACCAATTACCACGACGTGCAATGCTATCCGGTACTGGAGATGGTTGGAAGAAAGTTAGGGGCGGCCAAACCAAGACGTGGAATCAGTGCTTGAAGTCACTAACTTCTAGTCTGAGTCATGTTGGTAGATGCAGACTACTTGGTTGGGGTCCGCGTGACTATCGTAACCAATGGTTGGAGACTCTTGGTGACATGGCTCAGAGTCGATCTCAATGGCGTCGGTGTATACACTATCTATCTTCCCTTAAACTAAGAGATTAAAATCGCTTCATATCTTTCTTTCTACGAACTAATTCTTTCTTCCTGTACTATATCCTTATATGCAATCTTTCTTTTATATATTACCACCATTGACTTAACCGCTCCTATGAATCCGGTGTTCATCTCGTTGTGCTGATGCGGTATGGCAACCTGGACCGATGCACATATGTGCCTGGTCCTACGTTGTAGCTGACTGACTGACTGATTGAAATCGGTTCTGAGCCATGTCACCAAGAGTCTCCAACCATTGGTTACGATAGTCACGCGGACCCCAACCAAGTAGTCTGCATCTACCAACATGACTCAGACTAGAAGTTAGTGACTTCAAGCACTGATTCCACGTCTTGGTTTGGCCGCCCCTAACTTTCTTCCAACAGTCTCCAACACTCTGAGCTATAACAAACTCTCAAACTAACAACCTTATATAAGAACACAGGTGAATCAATGTTTTGGTAAATTATAATTTAAAATAATAGGTCATTTTACTACACAACAGGAAGTGAAGTGGACTGACAAAGATATATTAATTAATATGGATGGTGGGATATCCGTGATTGCTACTGTGGAGGTTATGAGTAGATCAAACAAATTCTGATTAACTAACCAGGTTTTAAAGCAGCATCAGGGCTGACCAAAAAACGAGATATTTTACGCTTTGGTGGTATACCAGCTTTTTTAAATAAATCACACCACTCAGAAGTGAACTCGATGGGGTCAGCAGAAACTGCTCCAACCAATTGTATACCCCAACGTTTTTGAGTTATCCAGGAAGGAGGCCGTTTATTATTTAGCCAATAGTGACGTGGATGTAGTAGGCTGATGTATTTGTCGATCTCTGAAGGAGGTGTATAACGAATAGCATGATTGTCAGGGATCTGATAGAAATAAAAATGTAGAGACAAGAGTAGGATGGTTAACTAGGTGTTATTGTTTATGTAGTCCACTACTTTCGCATATCACCAAATCGGTATGCGCAGAATAGCTTACGAAAGCTAAAAGCTAAATATTATGTTGTGTCATTCAAACGGTGACCCATTTCGTTTAATGGGATTATTTTAATCGATAAAACCCAGATAATGTTTATTAGCATTTTCAAATACTATGCCACAGGATTTTAAATCGTTTTCTAAGAAGTTCAGTAAAGACAAACAACGTAACTGTTTAAGAAAGAATTAGGGCTGAAATGTCGCTTTTAGGCTGAAGATTAACGACATATGTTAGTAAGTTGACAGTCAAGATATTTTATAAACGTCTGAAATTTGACTGGCTTTCTTCAATTTCTTATTCAACGAGTTTGAATAATGTAAGTAGCAACGAGCTACGCTACTTGAAAAAATAGTTTATTTTGACAAGGATAGAAACAAACAAAAACAAAGCAATGGTTTGTGGAATGAAATTATAACCGTCATTTAAACCCTTTAAGTTACTGCATGGTGCTTTATTTTAGGCTAAGGGACAGCATGACAGGTACCTCAATTGGGCTATAATTCAATCATTGCAAGGATCGATACAACGATAGTCGATACATCCGTATTACCATCTATAAGATATAACACATGTTGATAATTAGTTTTACCGATGTAATTAGCTTCTTTGTGGCATACACATGATGTAGTAAGGTAAATGTAATGACCTAATTTCATGACAAGGGTTTGGTAATCGTTACATAAGCGAATCATTCGCAATTCTCACAAGTGAATATTAGATCACGATACATATGTCGATAATGGCTTTTGAGTATTGAAACATGAGCAGTTAACTCAAAAATGTACATCTAAATTTGTTCTAGAAAGTTTGATCGGTATTAGAATTCTGTAACATTACATGTTACACTCTCGGGTTGCATTCTATTTACTTCTTTGGAATTTTGAAGATCACATACACTGTTGGCTTGGAATAATAACTTTTAAAACCTTGGCAATATATATACTTCCAAATATTGAACTGAACTGGCTTAGGGTTTTAGACCCATTATGTACCAAGTTTGCATAATCAGTCAAGTAGAAGTATGAGTAGACTGTGTGGAGCAGTGGCCTGAAGGTTGAAGCACTTGACTTTCAACCAGTAGATTTTAAGTTCGAACCTTGCAACAACGACTTAAATTTAGGCACATGAAGAGTATTACAGATATAAAAATGATGGTTATAGTTGAGTGGCAAACAAACCGCCAATTCAATTTTTATTTGACAATTTCTTAGTTGGATTGGTTGAGCATTACAAAAGGATGTTAGTAGCTGAGTCACATAAACTAATAAACCCACCTGGAAAATAGTACAGTCGATTTTCTTTCCAGTTTTAGTCCACAGTGGGTATAATCCTAGCTTGATTGCAATAAGACCGCATCTTTGTGTAACATATGGTTTCCATGGTACCTGTGCCGGTTGTTCAGTAATGACGGGGCTTGTAGAACTGGTTAATGAATCTATACGCTGTTGTTCTAAAAATGTCTTGTTTTCTGATGTAATATCTTCATCTACATAAGGACTAGCCTCTTGAGTAACCCAAAATGGCTTTTTTCGATTCATCCATGGATAAAGAACTTTGTTTAGGCTTCCCATAAATCTTACAGGCTCTCTATAAGTGAGCTTAACAGTCATTCTACAAGTAATGTGGAAACAATATTAGAAAATACCATAAGCGTACCTGATGAATGCTCCACCAAATACTTCGAACATTATTCGATACTTTGAAATGGGTAGAATGACAAATCTTCCCAAAGGCTAAGTAATAAACAAATAAATATATTTGCGAAGACACTATTAAATAATCTGAGAGATATTTAAAAACACAAATGTATCAAATTATCGTACAAGAAAATTTATTCTGTTGTAAAAGGGATGTAAACCAAAATCATATAAATAACTAAAACAAAAAATGAAACACTATTAAATTAAGAGGATGAATAAAATGAGGCCCCTGATAGAAATAAAGACGTGGTATTCTTATTTAATATGGGTTGAATAGTTACTGACCTTTATTATACATTAAAGCTTTCCAGATGAGATTAATGATGTATAACTAGCAAATTTACAACGTTAAGTTCACTTAACCTAAAGTGACCGGGATAACTCTGCTAATTTTTTGATCGGTAAACTATGTATTTAACACTAACAAATTCAAGTGTTCATGTTAATATTGAATAACGCATGAAATTGAAATATGACGAAATGAGTAGGACATTATAGTATGAAAAATCTGTATTTTAAGTGTAAACGCTTGTACACCAAAACCAAAATTTATAGACGGACTAATGAAAATAAAAACAGAAAGTCAAAGATTTTTGTGCAAAGTTCATTCATTCAGAAGCCTAAGTAGCATTTTGACATAAAAGCCGACGTCAGTTCATGATAAAAAAAAACCTAACTCCTAACTCTCGATCATAACCCTGACTCTTCACACTTTTGATCCAAGTTGGTTTTTTCAAAGCCATTAAAAAGCTACTCAATCTCAAGCTCATTTGACGAGACTATAATATATGGACGAGCCAATCAGAAGAGTTTGAGAGATTTCAATGTAACAGCACCAAGTTAAGTACCTGATGCTCACGTACGATCGCCTCACAGCGGATTACAGCGACGTAACAATTGGGCGACTATAATAAATGGGGCGACGGGACTATAGTTTATGGACGAACAAATCAGATTTAAGTTAGGTCTTAAATTTTGGCGCGAAATCCATTCACTCATTTGACTAGAAACCGTTTCGTCACTATAACTGATGTCAATTCGTGATAAAAACATTGAATCTAATTTCTAACCTTAACGTTCAACTGTAAATACTAGTACTAATTCCTTGCACTAATATATAACCCTCATGTAGGTGGACATTTTCAAGACCATGTTAGCGTTGCTCAAAGATCGCCCATAAATTATAGCCTTAACGGTCAAAATGTGATTTAAGAAGAACTTACGTTGACCAATATGGATTACAACGTGCAGCCTCGAGGCTGTCAGATCTGGTAGGTCTACGTCTAACATAAAAGTCGTTAACGTGCTGGTGGTGTGAGTAGCCTTGAGATTATTTAGAAGAAAAAAAAGACCCAGAAAGCACATTGAACCCACTTACATTTATCAACGGAAGTAAACGAAGAAAGTTACAAGTAACACAGATGTGAGACAGACAATCCGATGTTTGCCCTCAAGGCCACAATTTGATATTCAACGTCCAATATGTGTTTACTACAGTCTAATCTCAAAGATTTTATATTGGCATTTGGCTATTATGGTCTTGTATCTTAAGTGGGATTTATTTTGAAAGAAGAGAAGTAAATATTTTTATTTCTACTTTTCCAATGACACCAGACTTCAATGAAACACCCTTTTGTTTAGATTCAGATTTGTGTAGTAAGCACAGGTCTATGGTCTTTTCTAGTATGCTTGTGTGAATGTCTATTCTTCTCTTGAATGAGTCACTTGAGGGTGTCGACACCATCGTTTCGTGTAACTGGTTCCAAAAATTAATGACTCAATGTAAAAACCTGTATGCCACTGGTATTTTGTTCGTTCTTGGCTCTTCTACAAGCCTGCTATGTCCTCTGAGATGTCATAGTCTGTTAGGAATAAAAAAAGAGGATGTGTTGGGCCCAAAGTTATTTGTTAGTATTCTATACATCAAAAGCAGATCACCTCTTAATCTGCGATAGCACAGAGTAAAGAGGTCTAGATTTTCAAAACGCTCTCTGTACCTTTTCTAGGATATCCGAGTCGCCTTTTAAACAGAGGCTTGAAGCATGAACGCAGTTTTCAATCTTAGTTCTCACTAAGGTTTGTATAATATGGTGATCATGGTATTATCTAACTTTATGAATATCCGTCTTAGAGCTCATAAGTTTCTAAACCACTCAGCTGCAACTTCGTGACAATGGGCCGTGGTCTTAAAACAATGACTCACAGTCACCTCAAGATTCTTGTGAGGCTGAATTATGGGTACAGGCACTTTTCTTATGTCGTGTCTGGCGACTTTGTATCACCAAAGTGCATGTATACGCACTTTACCGCCCTGATAGACAACATCCATTTTTTAGACCAGCTAATCCGAATATTTATGTCTTTCTAAAGTCCACATGTATCTGCGTCGCCTGTTATGTCTCGCCAGATTTATGCATCACCAACGTATATTGACTTTGAGGACTCAACTATACTTAGGTCATTTACATACAGTATAAAAAGTAAAGGACCTAAGACAGAACCTTACGATACCCCACTATGTACTGGTCTCCAGGTGGAGCACTTAGAACTTACTCTTACTTTCTGTCTACGACCTACCAGGAAATCCTTAATCCATACTGGGAAAGGTTCGGCATTTCACAATTTTTCCAGATTCAAGAGCAGTATATTTGTTGGGACCTTATCAAATGCTTTGCTGAAGTTGACAACATCCACTGATTTTCCATTGGCTAGAGCCTCTATCCATTGCTCATTTGCTATGAGGAGGTTTGTTGTGTAAGACAAACCTTTTTTAAAACCACGTTGTTCACTGTTTAACTAGTTGTTGGTTTCCACGAATGTCATTATGGCCTTTTTGACTATTCTTTCCGGTGTTTTAACCACGACACTCATGAGGTTGACAGGTCTGTAGTTTGATGGAAATTGGCATGGTCTCTCTAACTTTTATAGGTCCCCGGTAATAGCCTTTAAAAGTTATTATCGTAGTAAGAATTTATATTATCCAGAACACCTATAACTCTGAAATTAATTTCTATCTAGTTGTTCACATAACTATTGACCATCGCTAAACCGAAATTGTCAGAAACCCGAAAAATCACTAGTGTTAGAATGGATCATGAATATGCGAAGTTTATCAATGCTGATGTCCGCAACCTCTTATTAGGCAGAAACCGCAAACCTGATAAAACCGAACCTAGAAAATGAAGGGAGAAGTCAAATTATAAATAGTGGTGAATATGTCCATTTCCATTTAGTTTAAACTTACTTGTCGTAAAGCATTCGAAGCAGGGAGTACCCAAACAAATGCTAAATGCGCATCCAGTTGCTTTAATTCATAGATGCGTCCAGAAGGACTTACAAAGTTAGTATTGTAACAGCTTAGGTTGATTAGTTAAGTGTTGACTTCAAACAACTAAGTATATATCAAAACAATGGAGCTCAAGTAATAACTCATTTCCTTATTTCGTATAGGCATCATATTTAATATTATCCTAAGAAGCTGTGTGTTTGAACGGGTAACCTATTCACCTCTTCACTGGTAGTCTGGTTTCTTGTACCAATAAAAGGAGGGTTGTCTACAGGCACGAAGGTATCAACGTCCAAGATTCATAAAGCGAATTTTGAGGATTTGTGTTTTACTATATACTAACATGAATATATAAGCACACACGTACAGTGATGCAGTATCCAAGGTAATTTCAACTAGGACATCACAGTCAACAGGTAGGAGAAAATGAGAAAAGATTGATTCGCTTTACTCCAAGGATAAGCATTTTACTACAAAATACTTGCGAACTAACTTACACCTGTTAACCTCCATGAAGAAGTATGGCCCGCCGGCCAACACCCTCTATCCAACCCTGTCCTGAGCAACCCTCTACAGTTCCTCTCAGTTGTTATTCATTCTTTTCATTTCTGCTTCCAATTCCCAAAGCAATGTGCTCTTCAGCCTTCCGCCTTTCAGTTTAACTTCAGGATTCCGAGTTAGTGCTTCTCTCATGGTGCATTCTAGTGATCTCTATGATTTGTGTCCGATCCACCTCTTGTCTTTGCTTAATTTCCTCTTCATCTGGCAGTCGGTTTGTTTTCTACCAGAGTAGGCCGTTGCTGATGGTATCCGGCCAACAAACATTCGGTATCTTATGTAAACAATTGTTTAGAAATACTTGTGCATTTTTGATGATGGTTGTGGTAGTTCTCCCTACAGTAGAACTGTCTTGGCGTCCGTATTGAAGATTCTGAAGTTGATATCGGTTGACAGTTGTTTTGAGTTCCATATGATTTCCAATTGTAGGAATGCTGCCCTTGCTTTGCTAAACCTTGCCCTTACGTCTGCATCAGATCCTTATCGTTAATCGATGATGCTTCCCAGGTCTGTGAAGGATTCTACATCTTCCAGAGTTTCTCCATCAAGTGCGATTGGGTTGGTATTTTCTGTGTTGTACTCCAAGATCTTGCTTTTTCCCTTATGTATGTTGAGGCCTACCGCTCCAGAGGCTGCTGCTATACTGGCTGTTTTCACCCTACATTGTTGGTGTGTCTGGGATAGAATGACTAGGTTGCATCCAATCTGTCTGTTGTATTCCATGCTTCCCCTCAGATGTAGAGGTATTCATAATTCAATCAACCATCAGAAGAAAGTGAAACGAGGATATTAAGCAACCTTGTCTGACTCCGGTGCTTACTTACAATGCGTCTGTCTGCTGTCCTCCATGCGCAACTTTGCAATGTAGTCCGTCGTATGAATTCCATATGATGTTGACAATCCGCTCAGATACACGATGTGGTCGAAGAAGTTTCAATATGTTTCTCGTACATACACAGTCAAACGCTTTCTCGTGGTTAAGGAAGTTGATGTATAGTGACTAGTTGCATCCAACTGACTGTTCAAAGATGATCTGTAGTGTAGCGACTTGATCTGTGCACGGCCGATCCTTCCGGAATCCAGCTTGTTGATCTCGAATTCTAACTTCTACTGAGTCTTTCATCCGGTTCAGCAACACTGTTGAAAACCTTTCCTTGTACTGACAGTAATGTGTTTCTTCTGAAGTTCTCACATTTACTCAGATCTTTGTTTGGTATCTCGATGAGGTATTCTTCTTTTTAACACATTGGCACTTGTTCCTCCTCTCAAATATTCCTGAATAGAGTGTGAGGCATATTAGCGGCTGCTTCTATATCTGAGTTCAGTTTTTCGGCTGGTATATTTTCAGATCCTACTGCTTTCCCACTCCTGATAGTTCCGATGGCTATCCTGATTTCTTCGATCGTCGACGGTGTGACGTGTATAGGAATGTCTGTGTGTTCCGATTCAATGTCCGGTTGATTCAATGGAGCTGGTCTATTGAAGAGATTTTCAATGTTCCACCCGTCTGCTCATTTGTTCTTGAATCTCGTTGATCGTCTTGCCTTCTTTGTCCTTGATCGGTCTCTGGTTTACAAATATTTTCCTGTCAGTTTCTTCATCGTATCATATAATAATTCGTTAGCTCTTCCACATATTTCTGCTTGTTTGCTTCTGTGTAATCAGCATGTGCCTTGAATTCTCTGTTCTCGTTCGACTGTTGTCCTCCTATCCACCTCATAGTCAAAGAAGTTGATGTATAGTGACGAGTTCCATTCAATTGACTGCTCAACAATGATCCATAGTGTCACGACTTGGTCTGGGCGTGATCAATCCTTACATATTCCTGTCTGTTGATCTCGAGACTGAGCGTCTACTGAATCTTTCATCCGGTTCAGTAACACTGTTGAAAACGTTTCCTGATACCGACAGTAGTGTGATATCTCTGTGGTTATCACACTTGCTCAGATCTCCTTCCTTTGGGATCTTGATGAGATACCCTTCTTTCCAGTTTGTCCGCACTTGTTCTTCCTTTTAAATCTCCCTGAATAGGATGTGGAGTATGTTTGCAGTTACTTCTATGTCTGAGTCCAGTGCTTCAACTGGTATATTGTCAGGTCCTGCTGCTTTACCATTCTTGATTTGTCTGATGATCAGCCCGGTTTCGTCGATCGTCGGTGGTGTGACGTGTGTAGAAAAGTCTGTGTGTGTTGCCTTGATGTTCGGTGGATTCAATGGAGCTGGTCTATTGAAGGGATTTTCAGTGTTCTACCCATCTGTTCCTTTGTTCTTCAGTCTTAGTGATTGTTTCTCCGTCGTGTCATATAGTTGTTTCATAGTTCCTTCCCTTGCAGCTTTCTCCTGTCGTTGCTAGCTCTTGCACATGTTTCTGTTTGTCGGCTGTAGTGCTCCTCTTCACTTGCTTGTTTGCTTCTGTGTATTCAGCTTGTGCCTTAATTGTCTCTGTTCTTATCCGGCTGTTGTTAATCGCTGAATTCCTCCCCATTTTCGTTTCCTTCTCCCAGTCCATGTCGTCCCATGATGACGTCATATCCGGTGTTGTCCATTCCGACTCTCGAGTTTAGATCACCCATCAGGATTGTCATGTTTTTCCCTGAAAACTCAGCTATGGTCGATTGCAACCTCTCGTAGAACTGATCTTTATCGTCGTCATTGATGTCATCGGTGGGTGCATAACATTGGATAATATTCATTATGATTCTCTCCTTGTTTATTTTGAATGATGCTTTGATGATCCTGGATCCATGAGATTCTCATCCTATAAGTGCATTTTGTGTTTCCTTGGACAGCATCAGAGCAACTCCCTGAATGTGTGAACAGTTTTCTTTCTTGTGACGAGAGTACAGAAACATCTCTCCTGAATCTATCCTTTTCTGTTCAGCTCGGGTTCAATGGGTTCCAATGATTCCGAGCATCATCGAATTGTATCTCCTCATTTCCGCAGCTATTCAGCTGGTCCTTCCGGTCGCCTATATTGGGTTTATTACACTTCCAATTGGTGACTTAATAAATGAACCCTCAGTATATATGAAGGTAATTTTCTCACTGATTAAGTGATCCACATAGATCTTTCAAGCTGACCACTCCTCTCGCTGTCACTAGCACTCCAGATTTCATGTCGGTTGTCAAAATAAAGTGTGGACATCAACAACTATTTCCAGGGAGATGCGGTCGAACATTGCGCTATTTTAACTTTATTCGAATGCATCTGACGTTACTCAGTACTTACCTCACTCACACTACAAAGCCAAGAAACGTTGTTCACCTCCTCCCTACAAAATTAATATGTATCTCTTGGGGCGAGTAATAATGTATCATAATAAAAGAGTCATAGGGTTAGGAGGTAATCTATACGAAGACAAATTTCATTACCATACATTCGAACGGTAAGTTTATTTCTAACGTGATATGCATTTCTCAAACTTTTGCCGTGTTCTTACACAACAAAAGTAACATTTTTGGTCTAAGGAATCTATTTTAAGCTGTACGTTCGGTAGATTACTTTTTTCGAGTTTCACCAAATATAATAGTTAACTGTGGTTTTGCCTCAGCTTGCTATTCTTTTTTTCAGTTTTTCCTGTAAAATCTAGTTCAGTTTGTCTTAACCGTTTTTAACCATTTTTGCCCGTTTTTCTTGTGCTTTTTAGTGTATTTTTTAACGATCTTAGGCTTTTGCTAGCATTTATAATACATCAACATTGTCATGAAAAATCCGTGCAAACGACCTGTATGCCACTGTTACATCTGGCATGCAGTGCTATGAATGCAAAGGTTGGTTCCATGAAGCGTGCACAGATCTCACAGCAACTGCTTACAACAGACTCAGCAAGTCGGATCATAAGTGGGTATGTGTTACGTACAACACGGATGCTGTAGTTTCTCTGAGTAACATCATTGTCATATTGACAGGTCTGCGGAACAAGTTGTCAGCAAACTTGGAAAAAGACAGACATAAAACGGGTAGACAAACAAGGACGCGCAATGAAAACAAGAATACGGATGTCAACAAGTCTACTATCGATAGAGCATGCATTAGCACTAGTGATGAGATGCTGAAACTCAGCATCATCCAAAAGTCGACGGTAATAGACTCCCTCAGCAAACTCGGGTTTCCCAGATCAGGGTTCTTGAATGCAACAGTGGTTCCCAAAAGCTCTGTAGGAGATTGGACTCACGCTAACAGAGTCAGAAAGTACCAGGCGTCACCGTCCAAGCTGAACATCTCAGCTGTTGAACGGAAGTCAACTGGTGATTTGATCGCACAGTTAGCCCTCGAAGTGTCTTTTCGGTCATTAAAGAACCTAGGATTCAGAAACGTGTTTCAACCTCCAAACAACAAGGTGCTGAACCTGATTGCAGCAGAAGACCTGGGAAAACAATAAGGGTTCGTGATGACCCTCTCATGATCATGAACCTCAAAGATAACCCTGACCTTCCTCTCATTTTGAAGGATAAAAATGACAGGATGCTCTGAGGAGAATTGGACAAGAGGCTTGAACTTTCTAGAATAGAGCCTTTGACTGTCACACTGCTCACTCGGGGAAAGGAATCTAAGCATCAAAATCGCCCGAGGCTACTTCGTGTAACACTTAAGAATGCTACCGACGTAGAGGATGTCCTACTAGCTAGTCATTTAATGAAATCCGATGGGAACGTAAGAATACTACCCGAAATACCGTATTCTGAGCGCAATCTCATCCGAAACATCCATAAAGAATCTCGCTAGTTTTTCCGATGAAGAAATATAATTGTGCAAGGTGTACCGGAAAATACAGACCCTATTCAAGCAAACTCTGATATTAGGGAATGGAAATTCATCAATGAGTCCTTGAGGCTAGAAAACATACTGGGTCAACATGTGACGAGGCTAGTCAAGAAGGAAGGTGATTCTAGACCCCAGCAAATGAGGATAACTTTTCCATCCTCCAATATGATGGCTACAACTCTGGAAGCATTTCGTGTCAACAGACGTCGGTTGCCTACTGGAATCCATAAGCACCCGGATAGGTCACACGACGCCAGGATCAATCACAGAGGCAAACTGGAGCTGACCATTCTACTTGCGGACTGTCTTGGTCATTAAAAAACACAGGCCTTTCAACTTGGCAAACCTTATATAGGTAGGCTACCTGTCCATTCACATAAGGCTCGTACAGACAAACAGGAAGAAGCTCACGCGTTTCAAATTGAGGGCATAAACTGTTTATACAAGAAAACTGCGAGATCACCAAATAAAATGGATGAGCTAAGTGGACTTAGTAACGCTAATAATGCTCATCTGATAGGAATATCTGAAACTTGGATATCGTCTCAGTTTACGAACCAGGAGCTAACAATACCTGGGATGTCTTTGTTTCGCAACGACAGAAAAAAGGAATTGGGGATGGAGTAGCTGTATACATACGATCCTGTTTGGAGGTACACCAACTTAACAACCATGAGTTTAACAATCTTGATGAATCTGTATGGTACTCTATAAGATTGTCTACTACTTCGTGGGGCCTAGTTGTGGTCATCTATAGAAAGCCTATTGTCATACTCGTATGACAGTCGTATGCTGGAAAGACTATCCCGCTCTACGCGTCTCGGTTTCACTCATATTCTGATTCTAGGGGACTTCAATCTCCCTAGAGTCAATTTCGCGGAAAATACGTATATTGGGGGGGAAAACTAAACAGAATCTCGGTTCTTCAACCTCATTGAGTACCTGGGATTATACGAAAATGTGAACTGTCAGATACCCTCGCGCTTATTTACAAACGAAGAATCTCAAGTTGATAACCTCTCAATCCTGGCTTCCCTTTTGGAAAAGTGATCAGGCCGTTATAGCCTTCAGTTTTGACAGTAAATCTGGGCTAAGATATCCCACCAACAAAAGGCGCTGGAATTTCAAACGGTTGAATGTGTCAGCACTACAAGACTATCTATAACAGGTGGATTGGGATGTTTAGCCTCAACTTGATGTGGATGCTCTTTGGGACTTCTTACTGCACACGCCCTTATGTGCTACAAAGCAGCCAGTTCCTCAAACGGTTCCCAATAGCTACAAGCAACTTACAATCATCAAGGACCGCACTATTCGCCTGCTAAGCCGCAAAAGACACTGTTGGGCAGAATACAAACGAACTGACAACAACAGCGCGTACAGGCAATACAAGCATATAAGGAACATATGCACGAAGGCTATAAGAGTAGACAGGCTTCAATATGAGACAAAGCTTATGGATAAGTTTGTCTCCAGTCCGAAAAGCTTATTCCGTTCTGCAGTCCCTCTTCGTCAAGCCAAAACTGGAGTTTCCCAGCTGCTAGGCCATAATGGCCCGACCAATAAAGACTGCGACGTGGCTAAACTTTTGGCTGAACAATACTCTCGGACATTTCAACCGACTCACATCAACTATGCTGATGACAGCTTCATCTGGAACTGCACAGGTCTATCCGTAGTGAACCTGAGCGCTGTCTTAATGTTCCGGAAACTCAAGCACCTAAGAAAAGACACTTCTCCTGGCCCAGATATGATTCATTCTGCTGTACTGAGGGAAGAAGCTTCAAGCCTGGCAAGACCGCTTAGCGTGATGTTCTCACACTTGCTAAGTCGAGGTTAATGCCAACTCTTTCTGAAATTTAAATTACATCATGCGTAACTGACTGATTTCAATTCATATTTTCTTTATTACCATTGATCTATTTTCATGAGTTCTGATCACTATTTCGATGTTCAGGAACCTTCCTTCTCAAACTATTTATTCGAAACAAAATTTTATGACCTCATTAACTCTATCGGGATCTTCGCTACACCATGATACATTTATTCATCCATAATCACTCTCTTATGTATAAGTATCTCAATATCTGTAATAATGTTGAATTTCAAATATTTTAGGTTGCAAGTGGCTGATGAGAACCTAACGAAATAAAATGAATTCATATTATGCTGCATCAATCTTTGTTCTTGCTCTCTTTAAGATAACAAAGGAAACTATGTGTAGGAAATTCGGAAGCTGGCTCACATCACACCAATTTCCAAAGAAGGTCGACGCAGCAAACCTTCAAGTTACCGACCGGTGGCTCTTATCATGGAGTCCCTGATATGCAATCGTATACATGACTATTTACTGTCCTTAACTTTCTTCTCACCCCAACAGCATGATTTCAGGAAGGGTTACTCTTGTATAACCAAACTACTGACTGCGGTGGACAGATAGACAAGCATCCTTGATCGCAAGGGGAAGGTTGATATCATTTATTTTGATGTCGCAAAAGCTTTTGTTAAGGTCAATTATATGTGTCTTATCAATAAGCTGAGA